ATTATTGCCATTGCACGCGTCATGACACTTCTAGGTAAATAATTGTTCATTTTTAATGTGAAATAAACTGTGCTGTAGTACAAAAACAATTCAGTTTCAATTTCAATTGAAAATAAATTAATAAAAACAACAAACTGAACCTGAAACAATCGTCGTAACTAGAACCCGAACTAGAAATACGTGACGTGAGTCGTAACTTGATAGGCAGCTGATCAGCCTATATGAATTGCGCGTACGATCAAACAACTTAGCTCAGCTAAGAAACTACTTTAACTTAGGTAAGAAAAGTGCTTGATCGTAAGCAGCTATTACTTGGTGGCAATGAAATAAATAAACACACTGGAACGGTGGCTGCATAATTGTTTCCACGCAAGGGTTTGTGCCAGCAAAGACAACAAACAAGAGGGATTTGCATCTCTCCCTGCACTATGACGGCTATAGGGCAATCCAAACAAAATGGCGGTCAATGCATGGTCAATGCCAAAACATTTGCGCCATAAATTTAATTTAAACAACCGTGACATTTTCCATCAAAAAACTGTTTTTTGCGTATTTTGTGGTGTTTTTAGATGATTTGCTAGTGTTTGGGAGGATAATTTTGATATTTAAGATGGAAAGTTTTTAGTTCAAGAAATTATTAGTGGAAAACCAGGATGTTTGCAAAAGTTATGATTTTTTTGCTTGTGACAAACGACAAACCTTTACCTACTAAACAATTAGGTAGGAACTATCCAGGATTTGCTTCCTGTTTAGTTTTTTCTTAACCAAATCCTGAATCCTGGATGTTTATTTTATTTGTCTGCTATTCAAGTTATCGTTACAAGCTGATGTGGAGGATAGTAAATGGCTTGGATCCATATACCATTTATGTAGAGATACTTTTTGGTTTTTTAATATGGATTTCGTAACATTTTTTCTCTTTTGCTACAATCCATGAAGCCCTCACAAAGTACAGACAAATAATTTTTCTCCGTTAAAAACCTGTGTTTTGTCTCTGCAGGAACGACATGAATTGAGTAATGAGTACAATACATAACGTATGCATTTTGCAAAAAATCAACACTTCACAGACTTTATACAAATCAAAAATCGCAATAAAACCGATTTTTTTAAAATAAAAAGGCATTGGCCTCCATTTTGAATTTCATTTTGACAAGTCGTTGGATTGTTGGATTGCCCTATTGAGAACGGCTGTTTGAAGTGTTTGGATCGTTGAGGTTAGGAAGATGAAAGGCCGTTTTACAGCTTGCAAGAAATCTTGAATGCAATTTTTTGCGTTACAGTGACTCTATACCTTTGAATATAAAACTACAGAAAGGAGCATAACCTCCGAATCCGCGCGACCAAAATATGTGGAGGTTGCATATGGCCGACTAGTGTTTCCGGTTTGGCAGTGGCGTATATTTATTTAAATATGATTATCAATATTATGACTCGGCCTTTTCGCACTAATCCCAGTGCTTATTATCACTTGAAACCGCTGAAATCCATTAAACATCCGCTTGAATGAGGACACAGCGAACCACCAAAACAAATGATGAGTCCATACTTGGAGTTTTTATGCGTATTTTAAATTATTTTGCATACAGTTTTGCTTACAACTTTGATTTTCATTATTTATTAAAATATTTGTTGACTAGGTACCTAAACTATTAATTCGGGCAGAAACTAGATATTTTTTTGTGTTGTGCGACGCCATCTTGAATGTCACGTGGTTTGAATTGCCTAATATGGCCGTTTCCGTCCCTGCGTTGTCTGTAGTGACAGATAGAAAACGCTCCTTCCTGGGCTGCGTTCAAAAATGGCTAAAGCCATGCCAAAATTGGCATATTGCGTTCAAGTTCGGCTCCAGCTTACGAAAAACGGTTGGCTTTACACGCTCAGAATCGGCCGCGGTAAAGTAACTTTTGGAGGTACTCTCAACTGAGTCTAGAAATGATTATAGGAATTTTGATTGGATAAGTGGGGTCTGTCACTTTTGACACAAATAACAACACATAAATAATACAATACAAAAAGCTTCTAGAAGGGAAGTGGAAGTGGTGAATAGATAATACTAACGCTCATGATCTGAAAACGAAAAATTCAATATGGCGTGGCGGCCAACAAGTTAGTTTTGAATATGTGTTTTGATGCATATTTCAATTATTTTGCTTCGAGTTTGGCTTGCAGCTTTGATTTTGATTATTCAATAAAATATTTGTTTACTTTACTAGGTACCTAAACTATTAAGGGCGGGTATTATAAAACTACTTTGAGAGTTAACTTAAAGTTAACTTCTGGAATTACATGTAATTCTAAAAGTTAACTTCAAGTTAACTGTCAAAGCAGTTTTATAATACCCGCCCTAAAGCCTAGTACTCATAACTGCGAAATTCGCATTTTTTTGACATTGCTTTGACCATTTGACGTTTGATACACGCATAAAACGTCAAATTGTCAACGCAATGTCAAAAAAATGCGAATTTCGCAGTTATGAGTACTAGGCTTAAGTCGGGCAGAAACTAGATATTTTTTTTGTGTTTTTTGGTCCATGAGTGGACGCCACGCCATCTTGAATGTCACGTGGTTTGGATTGCCTAATTGAGAAACGATATTTGGCGTTCCAGCAAATTCACACCAGATTTGGCATTCGCCGGTAGAAGGGGAAAAGTAGGTTTTGGCATTAGCATTGCCGTCCTTGAACGCACTCCTGTAGTTTTATATTCAAAGCTCTATACAAGACAGTGGCGACAATAGTGCCTAAGCTCCGCCCACCCGCCATGTTTTGTCGAACTCATTCAATAATGTATTTTCTCTTTCTATTCTATCTGTTCTAATTTTTTTATCACAAAATGGTCAATAACAGGCACAAATAATAAAAACAATAATATATTAACACAAAATTGCTTAAATATCCATAGAATCAAATGGTAAACACAAATAACTTTAGTGCCTTAAGCTCCGCCCACCCGCCATGATTTATCGAACTCATTTAATAATGTATTTGATCTTTATTTTCTTTCTGTTCTAATTTTTTGTCACAAAATAGTCAATAACAGGCACAAATAACAAAAACAAAAATATATAAACACAAAGTTCCATAAATCTCCATAGGATCGAATAGTAAATACAAATAACTTTCGGCAAAATAGGGCGGATATTCTGTAGCCAATCAAAAATGATGAGTCCCTCTATTGTCGCCACTGTCTTGTATAGAGGCACTGTAGGTTGCGTACATCAAAATTTGGCACACTATAGGCCCGGTATTCATAGACAGGTGCGTGGCTCAAGCTTGGATTTTTGACAGTTGTGAGCATCGTTCCGTGCTGTTTGGAAACGAAAATATGGCGTCAAGTCGTACTTGAGCCAAGACGCAACCTTGAGCGTCGACTATAGCCGCTTTCCAGCTGACGCTTTTGAGCACGCAATCGAGCTTTTACGTGCGCAAATGCTTCAAGCGCATGTTCGTGTTCCAGCCATACTGCGCTCCGAGAGCTGCTAACTTTTGCGTTTCAAACACAGAACACTGTGCTGCACCGTGCTTGAAGCACACAGCTGGAAAGCGGCTTATGAATACGGGCCCCATAAAGCAGTGCGCTCGTTCCAGAGTGTTTGTTTAGTTCAGTGCTTGGTGGGAGTGGGAATATTGAAACTCCTGAACAGAAACGCGGAGTATGGATAAACAAAAAGTGCTCTGGTGCGCGCACTGCATACTCCAGTCCCGATTACTCCCGACCCGGCCAAAAGGCCCAGGGCTGGGACTCTGTAACGAATAGAGATAGATAGATAGATAGATCTCTATTGACGTCCCCTCTCTATTGATTTTGAAAAGAGAGAAGAAGACAGCAAGTGCCATAGCGATATGTTACAGAGTCCCAGCCCTGCTGACTCCCTCTGTCTCTCTCTGTTCTTCCAAATGGAGTAAAAGTGCCGCTTAAAAAGTGCGAGTCAGTTGCAGATGTAGGAAGAACGCGGTTCAGGGTTCTCGAACGCAAACTTGCTACAAAAAGTTGTGTTCCTTTCAAGAGTTTAAAACACTAGAGCTACTTGCTCCGGTATTAAGCCTAGTACTCATACCTGCGTAATTCGCTCTTTTTTGACATTGCTTCGAGAAATTGACGTTTTATGCGTGAATCAAACGTCAACTTCTCGAAGCAATGTCGAAAAAGAGCGAATTTCGCAGTTATGAGTACTAGGCTTTAGTCGACCCCAATTTAAAAGGGAGAGATGCGTAGTGCAACAAAACTTTTCGAAAGGAATAAGCGCGTAATGCCTCATTCTCACTTGCGCGAAATTCGCTTTTTTTTACATCGTTTCGAAAACTTGACGTTTGATACTCACGTAAAACGTCAACTTGTCGAAGCAATGTCAAAAAAAGAGCGAATTTCGTGCAAATGAAAATGAGGCATAACGCCCCAGAGCTGTACCGGAGCTCGGCCTAGGTGTGAAAGAAATACAACCAATGCCAGCGAATCTGTTCCTTTCAAATCGGGGTCGACTAACACCGGAGCGAGTAGCTATAGTGTTCCAAACTCTTGAAAGGAATTCAACTTTTCATGCATTTAAATTTTAAATGGCTTGAGTCGGGCTTGGGCACTCAGGTGCAACACTTTTCGAAAGGAATAAACGAAAGCACCTAACGCCCCGGAGCTTGTCCTAAGTAGTTGTATTCCTTTCACTCTTTCACACCTAGGAGGAGCTCCGGGACAGATCCGGGGCGTTACGCGGTTATTCCTTTCGGAAAGTGTTTGTTGAACCACGCATTTGTTCCTTATAAATCGGGGGCGACTAGCATCGGACCGAGCAGCTAGAGTGTTTTAAACTCTTGAAAGGAATAAGGAATACAACTATTGTGAAAGGAATACCACTATAAATACTCCAAATTCTTAGAACATGGGAACAGCTTCATAATCATCCGTCATTCTCAAGAGTTACTGGAATCACATTCACTCTACCGCGCTTGAAAATAATTTTCGCACCAATAACCATGTTTTCGAGCGGGCTTGCGGGCCTGGATGCCTGATTGACATTCTGTCATTGTCATTGTTCAATGTTTGCTGTAATTTCATAAAATTGAGAAGTGGAATTTATTTAGCGGAACAGCTAGTGCGATAGTGTGAAATGCTAAACATTTTCCGCGACAGCAGACAATTTTTTTTTTGAAAAAAGGTAACTATGCTTTTCCAATAATAGTAATTATGAATCGATGAGCTTGGAACTTGAAATTTGACGTTATTTTAATTCCAGTGATTAGACAAAAACAAAGAACTAGAGTACCCAAAACTGATAGAGAAAAATGGCAGTCTTACCAAGAAGAATAATTAAAGAAACTCAACGTTTAATGCAAGAACCAGTGCCAGGAATTAGTGCAGTCCCTGATGATAGTAACGCCCGCTATTTCCATGTTATTGTTACGGGCCCTGAGGACTCCCCTTTTGAAGGGGGCCTATTTAAGCTAGAACTTTTTCTACCCGAAGATTACCCTATGTCGGCCCCGAAAGTAAGATTTATTACAAAAATATACCACCCAAATATAGATAGACTAGGTAGAATTTGCCTAGATATTCTTAAGGATAAATGGTCTCCTGCACTTCAAATACGTACAGTGCTTTTATCAATCCAAGCCTTATTGAGTGCACCAAACCCTGATGATCCCCTAGCAAATGATGTTGCAGAACTATGGAAAGTCAATGAGATTGAAGCAATAAGAAATGCTAAAGAGTGGACACGTAGATATGCTATGGACAATTAAATTTTGCTTGTTGATGGAGCAACATAAAATTAATTAAGAGTTTTTAGGCATCAGGTAGACCAGACTGGCATATATGTATGTAGTTTCTTTTTTTTTTTTTGAAAATATCGGTGAATTTTTGTATTCACATTATTCACTGTTATATTCCTGGGTGTTGATAAAGTTATAGACCGTCAGCTATTGACAGATTTTGATGAAAATAAAAGTAAATTTTCCATATGTCTATCAGTCGTCCGGTCGCTAAATTTTAATTTTTTAAGCTCAGCACTAACATAATTTTCATTGGAAGAAATCTCCGGAAAGAGAAAATCGGTCAGCAAAATCTGTCACTAGCTGACGATCTTTTAGTTGTCATTTGTTGGATCAACCTGTTGGATATAAAAATACACCAATATTATACTGTAAATTTGTGTATGCAGTGGTCTCCATAATTTCATGTAACATCCAAAGACCCAAGCTCCTATTGGAGACCCTAAAAAATCTTTAATGTCACTTAAGATGTATTAAGAATACTGGACTTACCAATTACCCCAGACACCCCAAATATATCTAACAACAAAATTTCAAGTACCGTTTTTTCTTCCTTCCGAAAGATCGCCTTTACAATGTAATTATCAAGGGTCTAGACAAGAACCAAGACCTATTTGAGGTCCAGAAAGAGCTTGAGCAATTTGGCTGCTCCCCAAGAAAAATCAAAAAGTTCAAGTGATCCCAAAATTTATATTTCTTAATGGTTTTTTGCCGAACTTAAATTGTAAGTATCTTAAATCTGTTATCAGGTGTTTTGAAATGGAGTTTTCTGATCCACATTTTATTCCTGTTTGACTTAGCTATATGAGTGTACCAAGACATTGGGATGAATAAGTGAGGAATTTTTCCCAACATTGGTTTTTCGTGATTTGGATTTGACTCTTGAGATAAGGTTTGTGAGTCTATTGGGTTTGAGTTGGATGAGGGGGTCTCTTGTCCTGATAGCTTGCCTTTTGAGTCTTCCACTGTGAAATTAATTGCCACATAGTGTGTGGCAGAGACAAGATATTGTTGACTTGCTAGCTTCTAGGTTTAGTTGTAAAATTTAATCTAAGTTAGGTTAGCTTTGTCAATAAGATTTTTGTATTCTTGGACAATAAAGCATATTTACTACTACTTACTACTACAAGGGATTATGATGTTGAGATTTCTTCAGTAAATACAGGATTGCATTTTCGATTTCAATGGTTGTGTGAGAGAAGCAGGAGGTTCATAGTTTGCTTTGAGTAGAGGTTTGCATTTAATTAGTAATTATTGAATGTGTAGGTGAGCAGGTTATCGTTTCGGAATTCGATTAGGTTGTGCTCTGAGCTCTGTAATGTAATTCGGTAATTTTCCAATAGCAGGCGTTAGAACCGTTGTTTAGTCTATGAAGTTGTTGTTCACTTACTATGCACTATAGTGAATCATCCAGGGTGCAAAAATATATTTATATAAATATCAAAATATCTGATATTTTATGATATATATCGGGTATATATCCAGTATGTGATATTTATGATATTTTCATAAAAAGTTCAATAGAAACCGAAAAACAGATACTTGAAATTTTGTTTTCTTAAACAGGAAACAGCTGTGATGTTCAATTTCAGAGTTACGAAAAGCGTTTTGGCGTCTGATGGTTACTTACTGGTTATTGTTAATTGCCTCAATAGGTATTCTAATAAATCTTCTTTGAACTCTTTTAAGCATTTATACTATGTCTTTGATGTAGTAAGGATTCCACACTGGGCATAATCCAGTGTAGCTCTGACATATGTTAGGTATCTACATCTTCCTCAATGTTTGACTTGTCTGAGAAAACTTTTTGAATGAAGTACACAAGGGTCTTCACTTTTTCTAACAATTTGGGTTAGTGTGCATCTCATTTTAGTGTGGGACTCCACTTCTCACTGGTCTCGGTTCATAGTATCGGTTGTCTGCTCTTACTTGGTTAGATAATTACAGTCAGCGGCCCCTCCATAAATGCCAGGAGGTTTCCCCCGACCTCAAAGTGTTTCAGCTTGTACAGAAGGCGCCTGACAGGTTTTTCCTGGTGCAAGTATAGTATGATGTCCACTGAATTTCGCTGGTCAAACAGCTTTGTCCAATCATTCACAAATTCGATGAAGTTTGTTGTTGTTGATGCAGGTCAGCCTTTTTTTTGTCTCTCCGCTGATGGTAGGGGTGAGACTGTCTACAGGACGGCGTCTTGGGCCTTCGATCTCCCCTATGTTTAGGACTGCAGGTTGATAAGCTGCAAGCCCTTATGCTTATCGGCTGCACTCCTGTCCATGAATGTATTCTGGATTCTCTGCGAGTAAAGCTCAGGGTAAAGTTGGACGGTGGATGGGTATTCGAGTTGTTTGCCGCGATGAGTTCTAATTGGGAGGCTCATGCACCGTTTGGCAAAAGGTTGGGAAACTAGTCGTGTATAATGTATGATGTTGCGTTTCCACTATCGTTCACCGACGTTAACTGGGTACAAGACTGATTGCTACACCGTCGTCCGCCCTTAATCCTGTGAAGGTCAACTCTTCGACTTCCAGGAGAGGATGGGTAGGTATACTAACTTTCATCCGAGCTTTAGTCACTTTCAGACGATGTTTTGGTTGCAGAAGAAAGTCAGGGGATGCACCAAATTTGGCATAAAAAAAAAGACCAACTGCTCATGAAAACAGAAGCAACCGGTCCAGCTCTTTGAAAGGTTCAATCTATTTTTCGATCCTGCAAGGCTCTGCTCAAGGAACATAAAAGCCCCCATTCAGTCATTTATACATTCTTAGAATTTTGTTGTATTTTCTTTCAATCTCGCCAAAAGTGAAGTTCAAAAACTGGTGATTTCTGATCCTATTAAATTAAACATAAACTATTCATAAAAACAAAAACTGCATGTAATGAAATCTAAAGAAAACAAATGTGAACTGAAATTTTGTTTTTTAAGTAGCATTATGTTGTTATGCAGCCTGAAAGATTTATTTGGGGTTTCAATAAAATGCATATACAATATCTATCATATAAGTGTTTCTATTAGTGTTCTTTTTTTTTTTTTTCTAGGATTTATATTATTGTATGTTTATAGTTTTAATATTGCGACATTTCATTTTGATTCTTTTTTTCTGATGAAAATACATTTAATTTGTTTTTAAAATTACCAGTCTCTTCATTCTGTATCCCTATTTATTAAGAAAATATTCCAAATCACCACTAAGGTTCTGACCTCAGAAGTTGTTTTACAATCAATGTACGAGTGCTAAAATTGAAACAAACTGCAAGAACTCTATTGACCGCTTCTGGGTTCGAGTTAAAGTGGCTTGATGACTTCATCATGTGTGAGGTTCGATGAAGTCTGGTTAAAAGTTTGGGCATTAAGAGCCTTTAGATGATATGATGTTTGTTTCAATTCATATAGTGTCCTCTATGGTGAAAGTTTTGTTTCCATAACTCCATTTTTATTTTCAATTCCTGGAAAAACGACTATTTTTAAGTGTTAAATAAACTCTTCATTGTTTGTTTAAAGGTAGTAGGTAATGTTCCAATGGATAAAAATTTTGGAGTCCATTAGTCTTTGATTTATTGTCACAACGTTTCGTCTTTCATCTGCAGGCCTTATCAAGCGAATTACTATTATTAAGCAATACATACGTATTCAGAAACTTGTGACTTGGAATGTTTAAAACCTTTAAGTAAATAACTCGGTGAAAACATGATTATTCTTCCAAAAATCTGCCTAAGCCAGTTTGTAATCACCCGCAAGATTAAATTGACAATTGATTACTAGTTGGAAAATTTTGATTATTGAAGGTAGACTTGTCATGTTCTTAACCCCCTTAGATTTAAGGAAACTGTCGCAAAATGTTTTTAAAAAAATTATTCTGCCTCTTATTTTATTATTAAGATGTGGTCTTAACAATTATTGGACGATGTTCACTATTTTACTTTTTAATTATATTTTTCATATTATATTATGTTTCTACACATTGTTCCAGAATACAATTTTAATTTTCTGTAGAGATCTTATTTCACACTATGAAACAAGAGCTAGATTTGCAGAATGTGGCCTAACCTTTTTTAAAGGTGTGTGAAATTGGCCCCACAAAACAGGCAATTTTGCATCAAAGAAATGGCCATTCGCTTGCCCAAGATGTAAGATGCCTATATTCATTCATTGTGTGGTCAACTTCTCAATCCTTTTCTCTATTCTAAACTAAAATAAAAACTGATAATTATTCAAACAATACCACTCTGAAATTCTTGTCTCTAAACCAGGTGACATAGAATATATCCCTCTCAGAAAGAAAAATGACACATCTCAAGAAATATAATTTTTTTTCATAAAAAAAAAACACTTTTAAATGGAAAAAAAAATAGTTTCAATTTCAAAAATGTTACGGGTGAACTTACTGAAATAACTGTTAGATGCCCCAGTGACCCTTATTCTTTTAAAACCTATGAGAGCTAACCTCGAACGTCTGATAGAAGTGATCAGGTACTAATTTCCTATTCATTTCGATCTTACCTATTTTTTCAAAAGAATACACCAGAAAAAGTAATAGTGTATTATTCTCCATTCCTAAGTTTTCTTTATCAAATTTGAAATACATAATTTTTATTTAAATGAAGGGAAGCGTAGCTATCTTAGATCATTCTGAAATACATGAAAATTTGGATTTTTTGATGTGTCAATTTTCTTTCGGATAAGCAATATACGGTAATTAGTAATAAATAAAAAATAAGCAGATAAAGGCAGAAGATTCCTCCCTACAAGGTTTTGGATTTTGTTACTTTTTAAAAAAGCATGAACAGGAATTCGTGCTTTTTTAATGAAAAAGTGGAATCGGAGGAAACCAGGAGTTGGCAAAAAAACAAGTTTTTGTGTGCATCGGTTAGGTTCTTGTGTTTTCGTTTGGCGTTTTGTTTTCCAGTTATATGATGTGATGGTGTTTTCAATGTCTAACCTCATTTTCCTAACTTTCTATAGTTTTGAACATGTGCTTCAATGTAAATTGAGTAGTAAAATCGCCTACTTCTAGTATCCTTACCGTTTCTATTCTCCCCCATTTCGGTTATAGGCATCAACATGGTATAATTTTTGAATTTTCTTATTTTTGTTGTTGAAAATATCTGAAGAAAAACCGACAAAAACAGAAAATTCAAATATGAAATCACTAATTTTGTGGTGTGCAAACTCCCTATTGTTGTAATGTGGTTTTGTATAGGGATTTGTTTGCCAAAACTCCGTTTTTCAATAGATTTTTTATGTTGCCACCCTAAGAAACGCTCGCCCCTCAAGTAGAGCTCACAATTTTTTGCTTGGCATTGGAAATGAATTTTTTTTCGTTATTGGTATATCTACCTATTTACCTACCTAATATACATTTGGTGTAAGCTTCAGTATATTCAACTCAGTGCTTAGTCACGTTTTATAAAAAAAAGTTGGAATGTAGTTTGTTGTAAATAAAGTTGTGTGTAAAGCTTTTACAAATAAATTTCTTTCAATAATTGAATTAGTGCATTTCAATTAATAACGAAATAAATCAAGTAATTTCTTGAAATACCTACAGCTTTTGACAAGTAAGCTAACTAAAGGGAATGACGAGAACCTTTTTCAAAAACCTATTTATTTCCGAAATTGAAATTGCCTTCGTTTGATGTCTTTACATGATCACGTTTGAACTCTAACTAGCCTGTAAAAACCCCAAAATTTGGAAATTAATTAATACATAATATCTAGAAATATTTAATATTTTTTTTTTTTATTAGCATGGGCCGCTAAAAATTTTTTTTAAAATTTAGATGGCATAGTTGGGATTGGTAAAATGGGATGTCTATCGACTACTTTTAATATATCATTCGGTAGATACACTTCAGCGATACGAGCAGCGGAAATCACTAGAATAAATGGTATTTGGGAGGTCAACTTTATATTGAAAATTTAAATGGCGACTTGTCTATATCCACGAATGATGTTGCAAAGATCTTTCCCATACCTTTATCATATCAAAGTAATCTAAGACCTAAGGAGAAAACGTTCTCGTTTGACCAAAATTTGGTTTCTTAAATACCATCCTCAACTAAAGTCCTAAAAAAGCAGCTTTGCGGAAGTCTGCAAAAAGGCAACTGGTTCTTGAAAAATTACAATTGCCATCTAAAGGAAATGTTCTGAGCGATGATGCTACCTTGGCAAAGAAAGGCGATGAGAACAAAAATACAAAAAAAAAATTATAATTAAAAAGAAAAACCCAGAGAGTCTAAAATTGATGTATAAAAAAAAAAGAAGTGTTATGGAAGTGTTTGAGGCATTTGTTGAGATATATTTTGGAAGGAATTCAGCAATAGTGAGATGATAAATTATGCAGATTATTAAATGAAAAAAATAAATATTATTTTCTTTATTTATCAAATCAAATCAAGAAGTAGCCTCTTCTTCATTCGAAGAAGATTCGTTCTAAGCAAACCATAATTATATAATACATAACTAAAATAATCATTTATAAATCTAAAGTCTTAGTTTTTTTGTTGCCTCTTCCGATAAATATATTTTTTGGAGGCAAACGCAAATATCTATTATATAATACATAACTAAAATAATCATTAATAAATCTAAAATCTTAGTTTTTTCGTTGCCTCTTCCGATAAATATCATTTTTTGGAGGCAAACGCAAATCTCTACAATCGGATTCATCCAACCTTATACCCGATTTGGCAATGGCAAAAAACCGCATGAATCCATTTTCTGTGGTGGTAGGAGCTTTCTCTGGCAAATGGAGTCTGTTGAAAATGTCCATTAACTTATCAACATGTACAAAGGGACCTTGGAAACAATCTGGGGGTGGCAAAAGTTTGCATAGATCAGCAGCTAATGGAGGCAATGGGAATGATCCACCTAAAAATAGAATTAAACTAAATATATTGAATATTTAGTTGAAGGTTATTAATTATTACCAGGCACTGGATGGTCACCAGGTAAAGCATTTTTCTTTGGCTTATAGGGAATCATTTGACCGTAATCGGGTTTTGGTAGAGGTATCTGTTTGGCTTGATCAATTATAGAACCAAGAAAAGTATTCATTCCTGACACTCCTGTAACGTTAATAACCTCGGAATATCCGATATTTTCCAATTCTTTCGGGGTACCGGGGTACAAATCCAAAAATCTGTATTTGTCCACCAATTGGGCAGTCGCCTTGCCTTCAACTTTTTTGATTTTGGACAATACCTCCACTCGTCTTTTTTTAACTTCAACTATGGAAGGCAAATCACCTACATTGGATTCAAATTCTAAAAATTTATTCCAAATATCGATGGAATTTTCATTTCCAAGCCTCCCTGACGATAAGATTTTTTCAAACAATTGTCTGGTGTTGTTATTTTCATTTAAATGAGACAAATAATCAATATAGGAAGTGACGTATTCAGGAATGCCGCCGAATTTTTTAAAACCCAATTCTAAAGTCCTGAAAAAATACCACGGTTAAACAAAATACTCGTTCTTCTGTTGAAGATCACAAAACTACCTGAATGCAGTATTTTTATCCGTCGAATAATGCCATTCCATCAGAGCGGCATAAACAAAAATATGATATTGAGATCTAGGATCATCTCTGGCCCTTTTAAACACCTTTCTAGCCGATTCAAGGCCTTCAGCTCTTCTGGCAAACTTCATATATTGAATGTAGGCCAGTGTAGGATGAATGCCTGGAATATCCAAATATTTTGAATAAATTTCATGAACTTTTTCGTATTTCAGACGCCCTTCTTCGAAGTCTGCGTAAGCAAAGTATAGGAACATGTTACGGTTCAAAATTGCGATTGCTCTCCCGAAAATGTGTGCCACTTGTTCGTTGACGACATTTGAAGCATTCAGGTCCTAAGAACAAAACAATGTTTGATATTAACGAATTGAATAATTCTGTTCTTTCTAAAATGTATTACTGGGTGACAACTGATCTTCACCGCTCCAAAGCAAAACATACAACAAACGTCAACTTTTGTTTAACTCGACACTAACAATATAGCTCAACAAATTAAAACATGGTGCCATATAATATGAATAAACATGTTGGTGTTGCAGTAAGTTTAGCTATGTTGCTTTGGTGGAGACGTAGCTTAAAGGGTGAACTATGGGAACTTATTTGTGGTTTTCAGGAATGTATGGATCGAAGACTGCAAAACATGGTGGAAAATATTTTATTTTTTTTTTCTGGTAGGTAACTGTAGAAACTCAAAATGTTTTCTTACCCCTTTCTCAACCAAAATTTTGCTGCTGAATTCCAAATGTCGCGCAGCTCGTAACCAAACATCCGGATGATGGCCCATACAAAGCAAACATTGCTCAAATGCAAAATGAACTCTCTTCGTATACAATGCAGTATCTTCTGTCCGCAAGGGATTACCTATTTCCCATCCAATATATTTCCACCATAATTCGACTTGTTTCCTTTCTCGAGGGCTTCCATTTGGTGGTACACTTTGAGCATTCTTATTGATCCCTTTCATTTTTTCTGCAAACATGTTGGCTACATGTCTAGGCCTTGCATAGCTCTTGCAAAATTCCAAGCGCGTTTTTTCAGCATGAATCGGGTCTTGCCTATGTTCAAGCTCTAAGTAATCTTTCCACAAGCTATCTATGCCAGTTATTGGAGTTTTAATACCTCGCTGGTAGAGTGACCTTAGGGAGGCGAGTTTCTGTTTTTTTGCGTACCAACCCACAGCCTCGACGCCTTTTATGAAATTTATGTAATCGTTCCAGATACTGAAAGAATTTATGTCTATGCCGATTTTGTGGAGAGCGAAATCGTAGGCTTGGCACATTATTTCTCTGAAAAAAAGTCAAACTATTTCCAGTGATTTCTTTCCAGTATAAATGAGAAAACTAAATAATTTTATGAATTATTGACCAACAGAATTTTGGTGAAAAAAAATCTGTCACTGACTTCCAGGTACTTCCATAGCGTGAACATTGTATTTGGACTAAATTTAAGACAAAAGATGTTGAAGTAAAAGTAAAAATTATCTGTATTTAAATGTTTTTTTTTTTCTATCAGTGTGACAAAATTATATAATTTTTATATGGATAAGTATAGTGGTCGGAAAATTTTTCATGTCGAAGTTTTGCCAATGAAAAACTAACCCAAACCCAATAGTATTGTCAACTAGCTACTCAAGAAAGAAGGGTCCGGTATTCAAGCTTATTAAATAAGTTAATTGCCGATTCGGTCAGATATTCATTGCAATCCAGCAAAAAATTCCTATAAATACCGGGCCAAGACGTTCAACAGACAGACTTGAAACAGTGCTAGTACCGCCACCCTGGGAACGCCCTCTGAGTAACTGCATCGTCATCTAGTGCGACGTACCGCAACCCTGGAAAAGCTCTTCTAGATGAGGATCAGTTGAGCAACTATCAGAAATCAACGTAACATTAGTAAACCGACATTCCTAAGTAGCATCCGAGGTGTGGCCCTAACCGACTCTACACGTAAGAGGCTATGCATGCTGGAGGATTCGTGTAATGATTTCGTAGAGCAAATATACATATTTTTATGTAAACTGAGCGAGTTTTTGTCTATCCATCCACCCTATACCCTCGTCACAAGAAGGTTGTGACAGTATATTCCTTTCAGATTCTATTGGCATCCCATCATTCTTGAAAATTTGGCAGGTTGACCCTTGTATAAATCGTATAATAATGACATTTGATAACAAAATATTTTTCCCGAATAATTTAAAAAAAAAAATGGGTAGTAAAATTAGCCAGGTGCTAAATATAGAATTAATATATTATTTAATTTATTTGAAATAAAATGAATCCAACGTAACCATAACAGGATAAATATGTTTTGAGTAACTTTTTTTTCGGGCTTGGTCCAACAAAAATATTGGTTTTAAGAAATATGGCTTTACATCTACATCGAAACTATACCTACCCCAAATATATCTGGTAGTTGGACCTCAGTTATTATTTCCCGAAGAACCGATGATTTGTTTTTCTTGAAATAGCCTTGTCATTTCATTATTTTCCTTATTTTTCCTTGTGAAATTATTTTGGGCATCTTGAATATGAAATAAATTTGACAATGCTGAATTTTGAAAAATGGCAATAGATTTTGCAGGAATTGCAGGTATGCAAAATAGTTAGGTACCTACCGTTTATGTATTGCACTATTGAAAAATACATTGAAAAATGTGTCATATTTTAATACCGCGATACTTACGAAATTATGTAAAACACACTCAAAACTGTCTGGAATTTGACATATAATATCATTATTTTTTGAGGATCAACCTGCCAAATTTACAAGGATGATGGGATGCCAATAAAATCTGAAAGGAAAATAGTAGAAGAAATCGCCAATCATGGAAGAGCGCAAAGCTACCGATGGTTCAAAGCTAAGGTCTGTCTGAAAATAGCTGAGCCAAACTTAAAACTCTCCTGCAACATTATTTCAAGCCGAGGTACTGGGCTACATCTGTGCCTCGAAAAGGGCCTCTTAGGAGAGCACCTTTACATACTGTCCAACAATCAAGCGGTTCAAAAGGCTATAAGTGCATCTCGCAGCTAGTTTGGGAGGGGGGAAAATAGCCTAAACTGGCTGGGAGGAACAAAGTTATTCTGATGTGGGTGCCAAGACAGCAGGGTATAATAGATGATAACGAGGAGGCAAATCTTCTGGCAAAGCAAGGCGCTGCAACACTTTTGCAAAGCCTAGAGCCTTTTGTAGATAAATGAAAAGCAAACGTTTTCAAAGAACTGAACAGATGGGAAAAGGACCAAATGCTAGCTGATTGGAGATCCGTTTCGGGTCGAGAAAGGAAAAAAAGGTTCATATCCATCTCGGCAAAAAAATCTGAACAACTTCTTGGCATGAACAGAAGAGACAGAACAATTGTTGGTCTGCTCAGTGGGCCCTGACTGGTGAAATAACACCTTAAACTGCGATATGGCTAGTTCATTGAATAAATTTGGTAAATGTCTGGTGTATATCGATGACAAAATTCACCAGAAACCTTAAGCGATTGATGGAAATACCGTCAAAGTCATTGAAGGAACATTATACAAAAATAACCATATTATGGTGAATATAAATGCAAGATACAAACCACATGCTATAGATAAGTAGGTATTTATAGGAAAAACCATCATGCAGAGATAAATGCCTCGGCGAATGGACATCCTGAACAGAGACATAAATGTTGACTTGAATTCAAACTCAATACGACACAAATGAATATTCAAACAATGTTTCATGGTTATAGTTTGACAAATGTGATAAAGGGGCTACCAAGAAAAATAAATGAATTTGTAACTTGCATTCTGCATTGACCTTTATTTTGTAATTTACAAGGTAAGTGTAGCTTTACTTAGCAATTCACAGAGTGGAAGTTGATTTTCCTTAGGAATAAATGTATGTATTTGTCACATGACTGTATGAATTTATGTATTTAAGCTATGAACTTATGAACTTATACAGGTTATACCATTTAAAACGAAACAGGCTGAATATCTGATGTCAGTTTTATTTTTTCAAAAATCGTTCGTATACATAATTTGATTATGTGAATGTTTGAAAAATTTTCAGCACTAACTCAACCCTCTAGCGGGGGTGGGACCAACCCTTACCATTCCAAATTGAACAGGGCTTCGAGTGATACCTGTTTCAAAAGAGCGCTCAATTTTCTTTCAAATGAAATCAAATACAAGATAATTAATTGAACACTCTCTTGAAAGAGATATCACTCGACCCCTTGTTCGATTTGAAATAGTGAGGTTTGGTCCCACCCCGCCTAGACGGTTGATATGCTGAAAATGATTGCAAAAAACTTACCCCTTTAAAAATCAAATTCAAATCAAATCAAATCAAAATATGCTTTATTGTCTAAGTAGATAAACTCTTATTGACAAAGCTGAATACTATAAATAGATATTAATATAAAAACAATATACAATAAATTAATAAAATTCACATACAATCAATAATAATAATAATACTAGTAATACTAACAACAATCCAGGACTCAGAACATGAATAAAAAAAAAATTCAAATATCGAACACATATTTTTTTTTTTTGAATGGAACAATACAAAAAAAAAAAAAAAACCACCACACAGAAGTCGCAAAATTATCTAATTAACTGTGGAGAGCAGGGCAGGTTGAAATAAAAATAAAAACTAAAAACTAAAAAATAAAAAAACAAAAAACTGAAAACTCAGGACAAAAACTTATTATTTAAAAGTCATCACAGTAAAATTCATGGAGACTATAATATGGCCTCGACATGAGAAATTGTTTTACACTTTTCTTGAAAAATTTATCATCCATCATCATTCTGTATACCAAAGGAATGTGGTTATACATTTTTATACTTTCAAATATAATTGAATTTTTGGTAAGTGTCGTCTTAGGAATAGGCAATGAAAGACCATTGCTACGAGTATTGTAAGGATTTGTTGAGGAGCAGTATTTGTGTTTTTTGTGTATCAGACACACTGTCTCCAAGATAAAGATACCTATTACTGTCAAAATCCTTCCATCAACAAATAATGGCTTGCAATGCTCTCTTGCTCTTACCTTAAATAGATAACGCACAGCCCGTTTTTGCAAAACAAGAATTGAGTTCATCAGCTGCTGGGTGCAGAACCCCCAAAACGCTATTCCGTACCTCAAATGAGATTCGATCAGTGAGTAGTAAACAGTTCGAGCCATGGGTAAACCCAATTCCCTGGAAACTATCTTCACTGCAAAACATCCTGCCGCCAGTTTCTTATTCAAAGATTGTACGTGTTCATTAAAATTCAGTTTATCATCAATAAACATGCCTAAAAACCTGGCAACAGGTCTGTTTTCTATAAAACTATTTTCAAAATTTAAATTGTCGCAAACAAATTTAAAACTTAGGATGCTAGTCTTTGATATATTGAAACATAAAGAATTTTCCCTACACCACTCATTTACCCTACCCAAATCGTTTTCGATAACCACCCTTAAATCATCAGCCTCTCCTCCATGCCACAAGATTGTTGCATCATCTGCGAATAGTGTGAATTTACCCTGAATGAGGATTTTCGACAAGTCATTGATGTATACAAGGAAAAGGAGTGGTCCGAGGACGGAACCCTGTGGGACGCCAGATTTCAAACTTGACACGTTGGAGCACTGACTCCCCACCTTTACCATTTGCTCTCTATCAGAAAGATATGTTGCCAACCATTCCAAGGCCACCCCCCTTACCCCACATCGTTCTAGCTTACTCAAAAGCACTGCATGATTTACACAGTCAAAGGCTTTGGATAAGTCGCAGAATACAGCCGCTGCGACATCACCATTATTAAGCCTGGTATAAAGGTCTTCCAAGAAGGAAAAAATTGCGTCGTTCGTTCCCTTTGAAGCTTGGAATCCAAATTGACAGTCAGATAGAATTTTGTTGCGTTCAAAATATTCTGTCAATCTTTTCTTAACCAGTTTTTCAATTATTTTGGACAGAGTCGGCAATAGAGATATGGGGCGAAAGTTAGATGGTATATCTGGGTCTCCACCTTTATAGAGAGGTAAGACAATCGCAGTTTTAAGACAGGATGGAAATATACCACTGTTAAACGAATCGTTTATTACACTTACCAAAACCCTCATGGCATTATCAGGTAAGTTTTCAAAAATTCTGGGTGAAATATCATCAAGTCCAGATGAGTTTTTATTCCTTATTAGCGTAACAATACTTTTAACTTCAGTGACATCAGTCTCATACAAAACAAAAGAGTTCAGCACAGGGTCGGCATTAAAAAGACTTAGAGGATCAACGGGTATTTTTACCTTCCCAGCCAAGTCATTTGCCACTGAACAGTAAAAGTGATTTAAGACGTTGAGATCCATGTTTAATTGAGTTTGTATTTTACCATTCTTCCCTCTCAAATTATTGACAATATTCCAACTTTCCCTTGCTTTGTTTTTTGAGCTATTTATTTGATGTTTATAATGGATTTCTTTTGCCAGTTTTATAGTCTGTCGATATATACGTCTATAATTATTAAAAAAGATAAGAAAATTGTGATTGTCAGTAAATTTCCTTATAGTATGTAGCGATTTAAGATTTTTTGCAGAATTTTTTATGCCCTGCGTTATCCATGGCTTTCTACATTTATGTTTAATTGGCCTTACAGGAAAATTTTTATTAAAACTATCAACTAATACAGAGTAATAAGCATATACAGGATTCTCACAATCCAGAACGCTTTCCCAATTGGTTTGCCTAGAATGCTCCCTAAAGCTATTAAAATTTCTTGTACTATATATTCTACCAAGCCTATTCTCTCTTTTCTCAATTTTAAACCTGACAGGAAATTTCATTTGTACTGCTTCATGGTCAGATAATGGGGCAGGAATAACAAAACAATCAGAAGCATCGCAGTCAAAATTTGTACAGACATAATCTATCACAGAAGCGCTGAACCTAGAAACACGCGTGGGCTCTTTAACTAACATATTTAAATTAAAAGAACTCAAAAGGTTATTTAGTTCTTGGGTCTCCCAATTTTTGTTTAAGAAATTTATATTAAAGTCGCCGGCCAAAACAATTTTGCTATTCACTGAAAAATTTTCCAATAGAATTTCTAAACCATTCAAAAACTCTCTTACACTGCCACTTGGTGGCCTATAAACACAAATTAAATAAAGTTTAAATTTCCTATTGCACGCAATACAGAACTCAAATTGACCCTCAATAACCAGATCATTATACTCTACAAGGTTATCTGCAGTAAAATTATTAAAAAAAGTTTCATTTATTAAAATCATTGTGCCACCATATCCAGTAACACTTCGTCGGCAGAATTTAGAAAGCACAAGGTAATCCGGAATATAAAGTGGTTCATCACACCTCAGCCAGTGCTCAGTTAAAAATATGAAATTAGGCCTACCCTGGTTCTCCACAAATATCACAAACTCGTCAATTTTATTCCGAATAGATTAAATGTTAAGTAACAATAAAGAGGCCTCACCACTAAACTCGAATGCCTTATCTAAAGATAACCTGTCATGTTTGTCAATAGTTACTCTACTCATGTTTGCATCAATTTGCCTAAGCTCGTTTCTAAAAAATTTTTTTTACAATCTTTACAATAATTCTCAGTGCACTTTAGAACCTCAACCCCAACTGGCTCCACATTCACGCCAACCTGATCACAAGTTAAATTAAAATTTGATTTTTGATTTATTATCAATTTTTGCAAACTCTCCGCAACTTTAACCATGCCTCTATATTTAATATGTAAACCCCCCTTCAACACAAAATGATGCGAGTTCAAAAGAGAATTAAAGTGAAAAAATGTACCTACGTTTTTTTCTTTGAATACATTATAATACATCATTTTATTGTGTTCATTGATGTACCTATTTAAAAGCCTATCCTCGTTCCACAGGGGCACTGAGAAGAGGATTAAATTTGTGTGTTTCCTGACATTTTTAAGATTTTGTAAAGTTTGCTCTTGTACCCTTAAACCCCTCAATACATTCATTGTGCCACCTATAATGATTAAATAATCGTTCTTTGTATAATTCTTTGCCAGCTCTGTCATATTCTCTATTACATCGTCTATAACAGCATAATTCTTAATCACAGAACAAACATTAAAATTTTCACTTACATAACGGTCCAAAACAGCTCTAAATTCTTGTCCAAGATTATCACTCAAAATAAGAATATTGTTTTTTTTTGTGGCTGTTTTACCCCTATTGTTCTTCCTTTTCTGCTCTTTCATACCTTCACTCATAGCACAGTGCTTAACTTCTTGAATCTCTTTCTGGTATGTTTGATTATCCTCTTCCAATACTCTTATAGTTGCAATCATCTCTCTATTTGTTTCCATCAGTTCCTGCAGTTTCTCTCTGAATCCATTACATTCCGCTGAACAAGATGTTATCTGACCTTCCAACTTCCTGTTCTCCTCCTTCAGACAATCTATTCCCCTTTCCAATTCTTGAATATTTGCCTCCATATGTTCTTTTGTCTCCTGCCATTCTTTTTCCTTCACCGACTGATCCTTTTCCTTGTTCTTTAAGATTTGAATTTCTGTGTTTAGTATAGAGTTCCGCTCCTGCCAATTCTTCAATTTCTTATTAAGTTCTTCTTCAGCATCAAATACTGCACTTTCAAAAGAGACGCTACTACGCTTAAGTTTTTCAATATAACGATCTTTAGAATTTAATTCCTTTTCCAGGTTTGCGATTTTCTCCTTGTATATGTTTTGTTTCTCCTCTCTCTCATCATTCTTTGATTGACAGCTTGCAGAACAGAAAATTCTGTATCCATTCAATTTCACGACCTCAGACTGCCGATCCATGCAGCTTTGATGCAGTATTGCATAGCATGTTATACAACAATAACTCGAAAAACTTTTTTTACAACATTTAAAAATTCGCTCCATGCTCAAACAGCTAGCGGATGATGAAATTACGTGTACGAGCGATTTTTAAAAAAATAAATGTGGCATCAGATATTAAGCCTGTTTCGTTTTAAATGGTACACCCTGTATGCGTGTAGTGGATAGTAGATAGGTAAAAAAGAAGACAACACCAGGGTAATAAAATAACATAAGATCAAGATCCAGAGAAGCTTTCCTGTAGATATAAAAACAGTAAAGATTCAGAGTAAAAATACTTACGGGTAATTTGGCAAGGACCTCTTAGTCTCTTTAATGTAGGTCAAATACATCTTCCACAAGTCGAGGTTCAAAATATTTAAAAGACATCTCTTGAATAGCTGGAAATATAATTGTTATATATATATTAATAAAAGATAAAAGGCATAACAGTTTACTATACAGACTACTTATGGTGTTTGTGCATATGATGATTTCCAATGCTTTCTATTTATTACATTGCCGTCATTGTATGCTAGAATATTCAAAAATATCATTGGCAATCATTGCACATTATAATACACAAATAACCCAAAATTTAATCTATTCAAACATTATGTAGGCCACTGTTATTTTCAAAAAAAAAGTGAAGAATTTTTATGACTCGAGGGATTCAAACCAGGACGAAATCTTACAATACTTACAGATGAAAAGCTCTAAATGAATGGAAAAACAATTGTAGAACATTGAAATGCAAGATTTTAAAAAAAGTTTCTCCGTTCCTCCCGATTTCTAAACACATTTGTAATAGTATATTATGCAATGATCATGTAATGATAGCCATTAATACAGGAGCATATTGTAGGATACTGTCACAACTACCCGCTTTACGGGAGTGACATGGGGGTTGATGGAGAGAAACTCGCTCAGGTTATATAAAAATATAGATATATATTTTCCCAAATATAACCTTACATGTACGCTAATCCTATAAGATACATGACCCTTCGAACACTGGGGTCCTTATAGGGAGCCACACTTTAATGCTGCTTGGGGGACTGTAGATTAGTTTATCGTCACCCTTATGCCTTGTCCAGAGGGGCGTTCCCAACGAGAGGTAATTGCACTGGACAACGATAAGGCTGGAGATACCCAGAGGGGCGTTCCCAACGAGAGGTACTTGCACTGGGGAGACTTAATTCCAGAGGGGCTTTTCCAACGAGAGGTACTTGCACTGGTTTAAGTCTGCCTTTGCTGCGGCTTGCAGCGCAATTTATATTTATATTGCTGAATTGCAATAAACATCCGATCGAATCGGCAATTAAATTAATAAGGTTGAATACTGGGTCCTCCTTTCCTAAGCAGCTAGTTGACAATACGAAACGAGCCGCAGGCGAGTTTCGTATATAGCATGCGAGTGAGTGTATTAATGGCCATTACATGAGAGTTGCATACACTATTTTTTCTACTTGCATTAATAAACGAAAAACATATTTATTTTATAAGAATAGTAAACTTCTCAACTGGTGACAATTGTTGACAATATGACAATTTCAAAAATTAAGATCTAGACATCATTCGGGCATAAATTCCGCACCCGATTTATTAATTTTTTGTTGTTTCTTCTGGTAAATACTGATAGAAAAAATCCAAAATTCCAAAGCAAGTCTGTTATTTTTATATAAACATTGTTCATGTTCAAAATACTCGATTCCAGTGGCAGAAAAATCTGTATCATAATGAAAATCTTTATCGTAATTATGAAACAGATTTTAGGCATATTATGAAACGTCAGTAGAAAAAATGGGTTATGAAATATTTTTTCAAAGTATAGGTAGGTACTTAAAATTAAATTTAAATAAAATATAAATTTTAAACTTGAATTCACTTGGAGTAAAGTTGCTAAATAAATTATTGGAAATAATAAACAAAATAATTTTACCTTTTCCGCTCTCTCGAAATTTTCGGCTTTAATCTGAAATGAGATAAAAATCGATTTGTAATAGGTACCTTAAATCTAAAATCATTCGAAAACGAATATTTGAATAATCATGAACATACTTAAGAAGAATAATCATATTTCTTTACCTCTTGTTCAATATAAAACTTCCAATATTTGGATGCACCTGGAAAAATAGTAATTAAATGCTCGTAAAGAGGTCGTACTTCTGAAATACGTTTTCCTGCAGCCTCATCAAGTAGAATGGCCCATAAGTCAAGATCGTAGGGGTTCCTCTCGAGGTGGTCTTGTATACGGTATAGAGTCTCATTGGCCCAAACCTCAAAAAAGGGTGAAATTAAGTTGGAAAATAAATTACCTTGTCAAATGGGGTGATGTAGATAGCTTTTTCAAATAATTAATTGCGAATTAGACTAAAGCCCGGTTTATTATTCATCTTCAGATAAACTTATCTAATGAAGATTTCCAAGCACACTTTTGATATATTTTTTTTATCAATGCTATAGTTGCTTGGGGCATCTTTGGTAATTCATAAGTTTACATAAATTATGAAAGTCACCCTCTATAATTTGGCATAAAAATTGGATTTCAATAAACTATCCTCGCAAAAGTGAAAATAAAAATTTAGTTGATATCAAAATGGATCTTTTTTTTCTAATGAAAATAGCAAAATTCAAATTCAAATAATCAGGCTATTCTGAAAAAAAAATTGAATAATATTTTTTCAAAATTTGGTTTGCCACTATAGACACTATACTTACCTCGAAATGATAATAGGTGGCCAAACCTGGCAACTTACCGTGGGTCAAGCTTACGTCCAAGATAGAGACATAATATTCCAAAGCTCTTGGCCCCATTGCGATTAATATTGGTGGTCCTGTGTAGGAAATATCGGAAGGGCTTATGTAGGAAATGAAGATTGGGTCTTTGTAGGACATGTGAATTAGGTCTATTAGGAAATATGAATAGGGACGTTATGAGCCAGCTATAAAGGTATTATGGGGACTAGTTCGAAATGATAATAGAGATCCAAACTTGGCAAGTGGTGCCAGATTATCCTGGTGCATCGATTTTATCAGACATGTTCACAGAAGAGAAGGTGCTTTGCAGTATGGACATCATGATTGCCTCTTTGAGTACACAGACTTTAGGGGCAAAGCAGGAGCAGTCGTGGCTATTCTGTAAGATAAATTTAAATAATATTTTTCCATCAAAATTTGAATGTATTTTATTATTTCCAAAATCTGAATTCGAGACAGGTGCTCAATACATTCAACTCTTTGCTCATAGGTCTGCATCTGCAGTATCTGATATAGGGGAAACAGAAATTGTAAGAAAAGTTTATGAAAAATGTTTCTAAATTAGGTTCAAATTTTCCTAGGGCACTTAGAACACAGAGCCAGTACAAAAATACCAATAGAAAGTTCAAAACCCCTGGAAAATCTTACATTAGAAAAATTAACGGTTGAACTTAGGTACTCTATTAGTACAGTTTAAATAACGGAAGGGGCTTTCTCTTTCTAACTAGTACACATGCTCAAAATCGAAAAGCCACACAAACGTTATTAAAAGACGTTTTTCACAAGCCCAAAATGTCCCTATTTACTGATTCAACTGGAAAAGTGGGTAGTAGCTCATCAGGTATCAGCAAGTCACTCCACATGAGGTATTAACTGCTAATTATTATCAAATAAACGTATTCGGGGACAAATTTGAAATGAAGTGAGGTTAAGTAGATAGCAACTCATGCTAAATAACGGATATTTTAATCGAATGTGTAATATTTTTATGAAATAATTTACAAAAATATTACAACAAATACTTACCGGCAAGCCAAAACGACACGATAATAATGATGAAATTTCATTTTGACTAACCATAGAACGGATGTCGGCAGATTATAATTAATTACAGTATATAAAATGAATCAAAAAAAAAATTCTAAATCAAAATGTGCCTTTTTTTTTCAGAGTTGTTTTATATTTTATATGGTATATACTTACAATGTTGGGGAAGTTTCGATTCATGTTTCTGTGAAATTTTAGTTTGTTTGGCAGAATCGCAATTTTCTACGCCACTAAATTGAATCCCGCTATTTTGACGCGCAGTCTGGAGTCTGGCGCAGTATGGCATAAATGTGCACAGCAAAATTTAACAACTTTTGTGCCAAAGAGTACAAAAAACAATTGAAAAATACGTCACTATGTAATACCGCTTTGTGGTGCTAGATGGCGCCATAAATCAAATTACTATACAGTGACTCTATTACCCACAAGGGCGACAATTGCTGTCTTATTTTTGATTGGTTCTAAAATCCAATGTATTTATATTGAAAACGCCGCCATCTTGTTCCCACCTATTGCCTATTTCAAATATGAATATATGGGATTTAGGTGAACATCCATCATAAAACATGGAAAACAATGTATTTGATGAACCTCATAATAGTCGTCAAATACGGGGATTTCAATTTTTTATGATGGATGTCCATTTAAATCATATATAATTAATATTTGAAAGTAACAAGAGGTTGGGAACAAAATGGCGGCGGGACCTCTATTGTCGCCACTGGCCCTCAATTCTTGAATTATCTCGCATACGAAAATTGAAATGATTTCGAATGTTTCCTATTCAATTTACGTTGCTGTCATTGGAATTCGAATCAACTTACGTATGCGAGAATATTCAAGAATTGACCCCCTGTATGTAAATATTATTTAGCCGCTGTAAATTACTACAACCCTTGTAGACCTATCATTTTCACTTACTTCGAAGCGGGAAAAACAAAAAAAAAAAAATGGAAGGTTCCAACCCTACATTAAACGAAAAGTTTTGCCGCATTTAAACGAGTAGGACCGTAATTTATTCTAGCGATTGCACATTCAAAAACGCGACGGTATTTTGCATACACATTGATGTTTTTGGTTGCGCGTTCATGTATGTGCGTACATGTTTTAAGACATCCACGCCCGTGTGTAACCGCCTTATAGCAAAAGCCCGCGGAATCATGACCTGTCGTGCAAACAGCCTACGTCAGGGCGAGAAAGGACATGCTACGTCATAACTGGTGATTTGGCGTGGTGGCGTGCTTCAGATTTGTTCCACACAGTCCCTATGAGGATAGGCTATCCTGTAGTGTGTGTATTATCCTTGTCCAAAATGGACGTTTAAAGGCCTCTGACATATTATGACAAAAATTGAGGTTATGTTATTGTTTGTTAGGTTTGTTATGTTATTATGTTTTGTTTATTATTAAATTTTTGAAAAACGGCAGGCTGCTGACTGCTGCGAAATTCGCAAAATTATTTATTGCAAAGAAATTATTTTCATGTCATTAGAAAGTTACTGTCCCGTTAAAACTTGAATCATTTACGCTTTGCAAGTGGCAATAATAATAAAGTAGGTAGAAATTAGAAATGTAAGCGTGAGCACAGTTTAAATTAGCTTGACGGAATTCCGTGAGGCTAATAAACTGTGGTGTAAGATGTAGACTAATAAGATATTGATTGAATGGTGAGCTTATAGAAAAACTGACTGCTAATAAAACCTGCAAAAGAGTGGGCTAGCTTGAAAGTAAATCTTGGCCATCCTATATACTAACCACAAGATTACGCGTGTATTATTTATTATAATAGAATAAAAATGTTGTCTCACGTACCGACAAGTGGAAGTGTACAAGGTTATATTACAGCTATTTTCGGGTTCGAAAAAAGGACGTTTCTAGAAAGGTTCAAAACAATCGAATAGTTCATCAATCAAAAAAATGACAATGGCTCAGCTATCACAAATTTCAATAATGAACTGTGCGATTGTTTTGAACCGTTCTAGAACCGTCCTTATTTCGAACCCTAAAATAGCTTGATCATTTTGTTAATCAGTATGATTTGAAGATAGAAATAGGTACTGAACGTGTAGAGGTGGTACAGAAGATCAAGTATTTGGGGTTCATCATCGATAATTCTCTTAACTTTAAAGAACATATCCTGTACATCATTGACAAAATATCAAGAAATGTAAATTTTCTGTCCAGAGTGTCCTCATCATTATCAAAATGGACCAAAATAACAATATATAATACCCTGATCTTACCTCACTTTGTGTATAGTGCAACAATACTATTTACTGCCAACAAAAATGAAATGAATCGCCTGCAAAAGTTGCAAATTAGAGCTATGCGTATAATATTGAAGAAAAGAAGGGACACACGTATAGTTGACTTGCTGAATGGATTGGATTGGCTACCTGTTGAAGGGTTTGTCAAGTATCAAACAATGATCTTTATCTATAAAATAAAAAATGGAATTACACCTGACTATTTGACAAATAAATTGATCACCAGTGGGGACATTCACAACTATGCAATTAGAAATAGAGACAATTTTTATGTTGCAAAAAAGAATAAATCGCTTTCTGAGAAAGCAGTATACCATAAGGGGTTAATAATTTTTAATGCATTGCCCAATGAGATAAAGAACTTGCCAACCATTGGATTGTTTAAGGGGAGACTTCAAGAATACATGAAGGGAGAATGATGCAGATGAAAAAAAAAAAAAAAAAAATTGTGCTGTATTTTGTTAATTCAGAATTGTCCAATGATCTCCACATTGTAAGACGGTAGTATTACTAGGTGAACTAATTATTATATCTCTTGTATTGTAATATTTATAGTATCAGATTTTTTGTACTAAATTAGATGAAGTCTAAATAAAGCAATTATTATTATTATTTAAAATTAATACCTGAATAGGTTGAATTTGAATTTGAATTTGAAATAGGTATCAAAATTTGAATATTGGAGTACCTAATTTGTCGAGTAATTTGTTTATAAAATTTATCTTGGACACGATTCGCGTATTTAAACAAAGATATTTTCACCAAGCTGCAATAAATATGCAACACCTCCAAAAAAGATTTTAATAAGCAAAAAATGAATATGATACTCAGGAGTTACAGTGATTCTATGCTTGCACCATTATATGTATACTCACCGCAATTATTTCAAACATACTTACTTAATTATTATTTTGCAGATACCTAATTAGTGTGACGCTTACTGAAATGCATCGGATATTATCTCATAAATGCAATACAAATAAAATATCAAATCAGTCTTTAAACGCATATATGCAATATGCAAAAGCAAGCAGCAACGCTTATCCTACTCAATGTCGAGTTTTGATTGCTGGAGCAGGTGTTGTGGCCAACTCTGTTGCATATCATTTGGTCCAGAGTGGTTGGAATGATGTCATTATAGTTGAACAAAGGAAAATTGGAAGTGGAACTTCTCATTTTGGATCAGGAATTTTGGGACTGTTAAAACCAATTTCCCATCGTAATGTTATTTGGTAAGCACTGATTTATTTCTTATGAATATAATAAAACGCTGTACTTTAACTGCTGTTAAACGCTAGCCTACTAAAATGGTGGTAATAGATATGACGTCCATGAAGTGGCGCACTTGTCTGCTTTTTATTCGCTTTGCTTAAGATACTGTTAATCCAGAATAGGAAATTATTGATTATTACTTATTGTTGTCAATAATCAATCATGTCTTATTCTGAATAAAAGCTGGGTTCGGGATGGCCAAGCGGAGCTCGAGTAGAGTTGGAGTGGCGTTTTTATCACGTGACCAAAAAGCTTTTGGAGTGTATCAGTAAAACCGACCGGCCAAGGTGCATTTGGAGTTTCTTAACTTAACCTATTCCACAAATGACAAGTATTATTTTAAAAACAACAAACGTTTTTCGAGTCTTTTCTATGAATTTTTGGTATTTGGTGCCTATATTTGATTTTGTTGAAGACGTTTATTTCGGCGACTTGTCTGAAGAAGTCATCAAGATCATCATTGGAAATTTCAGTGAAATTACGCGTTGCTTGCATGTCAAATACGCAGTTTAAAATCCATTCCATTCATTTACCAGGTAATTACAGATTAAATATTGATTTGTTGACTGTCGATTAGTCGAATAGTCGATTGTCGCAATAAAAAAAATAGGATAAATGACACATCACGAAAACGCACACAGTGCGCATGCCCGCTCCGGCGCTTGCTGATGACGAGGTGGTGCTTTCAGAGTCAGCTCTTTTGACTCCCGCACGCATATTCATTTTTTGCCAACGCAACTGATTTTCGGCTAGATTCGTGCCCTGCGCCGTGAAGCGTTAGCAGAATATGAGCATCGCAACCAGACGTTGGCACTTCATGTGATTGTATGTTACAAGCATTTTATTGATAATTAGGTCCGATAAATGTTTTTTATTCAAAGGAAGGGAAGATAAAAGATATATTTATATGAAAATTTCAGCTAACACAATGGCATGATATTGTGTTAGATAAAACTACAGATGTCTTTCGAACTACCCAATGGACCTTTTATACTAACTATTTTATAGAGTGTGAGCTAGAAAAAAATTGAAATATTAAAACACAAAAGGTAGAAATAGAGAAATGTCGAAAATGCAAAATGTCGAAAATATGAAAAGTTCAAAATACAAAAGATCTTTTTTCTCTTTTGGTTCTACATATTTATTTTTTTGTAAAATAAAAGAATAAAATGAATGTTCAGCTGAACTCTCGGCTGAACTGTGTTTCTGTCGCACAACGTCAGAGAAGCCAACTTCAGTGACTCATAATATTTATTCAAAATTTAATAATACATACATGCGATCTATTTTTTATACGCGCTCTTTTTTCGATATTTTATCAGGTTCATAGAAACAGAGATTGGTTCGCATTTCCAGGACGGGTCAGTTTGGGTTAATTTGGATTAGGTACTTTTCATGTCTTTGTTTGAAAAAAGGAAACAGGATCAGCGCCTATTGCGGTTTTCAAACGAAAACTAACCCGAACTAACCCAAACTAACCAAAAATAACCCACACTATCGAAAACTAACCGAAACTAACTCAAATCTACCAAAAAAGTTCTGGGGCCTTTGAATAGACACAATGATCAATTTTTAAACTCTTAATAACGGTATTTCTTCATTCGTTATCGCATTTCGCATTGAAACATGTGCCAACAACTAACAATAACTGCCAGTTTCCAACTGAATTTATTTGGAGAATATTTTTACGAACGCCAGGCAAGCTCTATAAACTGCATAAACAACGTTAGTCCACTTCAATCATAATTTGCCTACGCTGTGCTCGAACGAACACGAATGCAGCCGAAGGTCCTATTACGTTGGCAGAAAATGAATATGCCTCCCGCACGTCCTTCCCGAACGCATGTGGAGTTACTCTTTAAGCTCAAAATGACAATACCCGAACGCATCGGGAGTGTTTATTGCAGTTGGAGTTTATAGAACAGTCATCCCGAACCCACCTAAAATAACTAGGAACAGAGTCTGTTGATTTAAATAGTTATTCTTGGGAAAATGTGGCATTTGTTTTGAGACTTTTATTTTTTATTGCAAATTATACATAGATAACTTAAAAATATGCTGCAGATGTCATTCTCTGTTCTCCGCAAAACCACAGTTTCGATTGGGGTTGCCTTCTTGTCAGTCCAACACATCGAATATGTTTCCAAAGAAAGCATCCACTACGACAAAGGGCTGTATGATTGTCCTGTGTATCTTCATTCTTCACAGCCCATAGAACAGAACAACAGCAACATTGTTGAAATTACTCGACTTAATTGACTATTTTTGTCATTATGCATTTCGCATTGATCCATTCCTGTTTGAATGGAAGAACCAAGTAAAACTGTCCTTATCTTCAAATGCCAATATACACACAGCCGCTATTTCAGTTTGACAATTAACGTCTCAATGACCAAGTCAATGATGTCACTTTGTCAACAATTAAGATGCTGTTTCAATAAAAAGACGAGGACGTCGAAAACGACAAGGCTTAACAGTCATAGGACTGCCGACGAAAAACAAAGCAAATACTGTAGCATTTGTTAAACAATCCCGTTGTGAAAAACAAAATGTAATCCTAAATTTCTTTGTAAAGGATCGTAGCATTGTTGAAGATATCACAAATGGTAGGTAAATTTCTTGAAAAAGTAGACATTAAACCCCTTCCCGGAGAAATATCACATGCCGTACTTGATGACGCTGTTGATATACACATGATAAGGTAAATCTAGCAATATCTAATATTTATTTAGGTAATTGCTAACGATGTAAATTCCTAGTTTTAGCAGTTTTAGCACAGAGGAAGCTTTTGAAAAAATAGTCAATCTAGTCGCGCAGAAACGACTTCAACACCGTTGGCCTTGTTCTGTGTGCGGTGAAGACACAAAAAAACTAAAGGCGTATTTTAGCGAGAGTTTTAACCCAGTAGTATGTTGTATTTACTTGGGATACTACATTTTAGCGATCATGGCTAACATACTATGACGTCACAACATAAAACACAACATAAAACTCGGCTGTAAACATGTAACCATCCTAGGAGGGATAGTTACTGGTTGTAGTATGTCAGTGCATCTTTTTCTAATACACGAAAATGAGCATATGGGCAAAACATCAGCTGATTACGCTACGATTACCGACACAGTTCTTTCCATTATAAATAGAGGCTTGTTTTTCCTCATTTTGCCATGGTTTTCTGTGATTTTATTTTAGAGATTTCTTGCAAAAAAATAAAAAATCTTCACTTGTGCACAAAAGTGTAATTTTATTTTTTTTGGCATAGGGTACCCATAAAATTCAAAAATACCACAATCTATCCAAAATATTCGAAAATCTTCACTGGAGAAATAATATTGAAACTCGAAAACGCAAAATTTTGCAAAATTCAACAAATCCAAATAAATAACGATTATGGCGTCCTCTCTTTAGACCCTTTGTCAAATACACTCCACCTGTTATTTGGGTAACTATGACGTCATGAATCGTAGTATGTGTAGTATGATGTTTACCTGTCGCTAAAATACGCCTTAATACAGCACTTTGTTGTAGAGTCCGCGTCAAGAGAAAAGAGGACGGTGACGTCATTTGCGCACAAACCCAATTTTGAAGACTAACCGAAGTATCGTATCGATCGGTGCTGCTGCCGAACGCCAAGCACGTGGTTCATTGTCGTACGGCCAGCAGGCATATTTATTTAGTTTATTTTCTATCCAAGTTTTGTCTAAAAAGATACCCCGCTGCTGGTTTCAGCCCACGGCCAAGGTCACGGCAGACAGCGAGAGATAGACGAGGGAGAGAGATCCGACCCGCTTCGCGCAGCTTTTTATTTCGTCACCGTAGTCTTTAGTGCTGATTTTACCTAGGGATGCCTTGTATGAAATCATATTCGATGTGTAGGACTGACTAGCCAACCTGAATCGAAACAGTGGTTTTGCAGAAAATTCCATCTGCAGCATATTTTTTATTTATCTGTGTATTGAATTGAATTGAATCCAAAAAAAGCTTTATTGTCTAAAAACTAGTACATTCTTATTGACAAAGCTATATGAACTAAGTTAAATTAACAATAAATTGAAATAAAATATAAATAAAAATACTTTTTTTTCTAAATCATCACAAAACATTTTTCAGCAGACATCTGCTCTAGCCTCTGTGTACCGTGTACAACTGAAAAGAGCAAAAACACAAAAAAAATAAATTTAAAATGAACAAACAATAATTTGCAATAAAAGTCTTAAAACAAATGCCATTATTTTGATTATTTACTGAGAATAACATTTTTAATCGACAGACTCTGTTTCAAGTTAATTTTATTCAGAATAAGACGAGTAGGCTACCGTTTAACCGTAGTTTAAGTACAGCGACAATAAAAATACTATTTTCTGTCAAAAAGTATTGTGTGAAGAATAAGAAAAAAAGGTTCTTTACTGGCATTTCCATTACCATGAATATATGCAAAGTTGTTCAAACTTTTGAAAAGTAATAAATGCACTAAAGTCTGTAGATGTGCGGATCGAGGGTTTTCGACGCTGATTGGCTAAAATTAGAAGCTCGACTAGGGCGGCCACTGCCCCATTTACACGATTAACCCATTACCCTAGTCGAGCCCCCAATCGTCGTTGAAGCACTTATATTTCCGCCTACATAATTATTTGTGAACAAACTCCGTAATAAACTTGGTAATAAATATTTTATATCTTTATTGTAGGTATAGTATAAATTTATATAAAAACATACAAAACATGGGCTATAATGTTCAGATGAAACAATGTGGCAGTTTGAATTTAGCACAAACCAAAGACAGACTAATTGCTCTTAAGAGGAGGGTAGCCTACAATTTACCTACAGGGTTACATTGTGAGCTACTCAGCAGGTCAGATATTCAAAGTATTCATCCTTATATTAAAATTGAGGATCTTGAAGGTATTTGGCGATTGTGGATGGGTGTTTTTTTTTTTTTTGCGTTGTTGGTTTAATTTTTTCATGCTAGTATTTTTTTGCTTGGGAGTTAAACATTTAGATTAGTGCATGTGATTTGAACTTCATTTAGTAAAATGGGCCCAAAGCCTTGAGGATTTTAATGTACTGTCAGTACAAGTTTACAGAATGGTAATTTATGGCACACATAGTTTTTCGATTTATCATACAGGGTGTCCCAGCTGAGGATAAGTTTTAGACAAGGTGTGCTAGATGGCTGCCGTTTGCGCCTTTCAAATTCCCTTGGCCAAAATTAATTTGACAGTTATACAAATGATCAAAAAGCAATTGTTTTCGATCTCGAGATTCTAAACTATTTTCAATGAAACAAGCCTCTTGTACCTATATCATGTCAAACAAGCAGGATTTCCCATGGTTTTTGTGAACCGTGTTATCGTTTTTTGAAGTGGAAGTTTCAACAGTAAAAATTCAAAAAAAAACTAAGTATCAATATTTTTGATAATGCATTTTGTAGGTAGGAATTAATTATTTAATTGTTGAAATAACTTTTATCAATAACAAAAAAAAAGATGAAGTCAACAGAAAACAAATGATACCAAGCTCAGCTGGTGTAGCATTAAGGAGCGCGCCCACTGGGCCCGCACAGCCCGGCACAGCACGGCCAGCGCGGCTGGCAGATTTTGATATGTTCGTAAACAAATAGAATAGCGCCCACTGAATCAGAACCGCTCAGCTCGGCACCGCACGCTCAGCCCGGCGACGACTCGTATTCTCGATGGGGCAAAAACTGCCGGTCGGTCCGCGTGTCTGCGACCATAAAAGCATTGGATTGTTTTGTTTCATTTTATTTGTGACATCATGTCCGATGAAATTTTGATTGAAAGCATTTGAGCATATGTATTGTATGAATCCAAGGAAAAATATTACTACGATACCACTCATAAAAAAAATGCTTCGAGGGAAGTTTCTTTTTTTATTCGCGAACTTACCACTTCGATAGTCAAAGTTGTTTTAAACGCTATTTGGGTCTGATCATGCCGAAGCAATGGGCGGTGGCTGCGGAAATGCCGGCCGCGCTGACCGTGCTGTGCCGGGCTGTGCGGACCCAGTGGGCGCGCTCCTTTTAGTTCACTTCCGACTGGGACATCCTGCATAACAAATGGTTCATGGAGCGCCGAATCACCAGGTTACCAGTATTAGCTGAATTGGGTTTTTTTCTAGTATCTTATTGGTAAATACTGTATTATTTTTATTTACAGACTAAAATATAAATTATTTATAAACAGTGAGATACCTATACCCTAAAACTCTTGCTTGTTTTCTATTTTGTGTAGTTTTTAATTTTTCCTCGAGTTTTGCCTTATCTAGGTAAATACATATCGTCTTTTCATTCAAATGAAAAAGATTGTATGTTTTAGGAGCTGTCTGGGTTCCTGAAGATGCAGTTATTGATCCAAGAGCAATTTGCGATACATTATCCTTATTAGCTGAAAAAGGTGGTGCTAGATATATAGAAAGTACAGCAGTGAATAGAATTTTAACCAAAAACGGTGCTGTTTATGCTGTTGAAACAAGTAAAGGAATTATACATTGCGAATATTTTGTTAATTGTGCAGGAATGTGGGCTAGGGAATTGGGATTACAATGTTCACCCAGTGTCAGTATACCAGCCTATCCTGCTGAGCATTTTTATGCTACGACCGGTAAAAATAAATTTATGTTTAAAAACTATTTCCAAATATCAATTTTCTGCTAGGCATATTGGATACAGAAATGAAAGATAGTCTTCCCATAGTTAGAGATAATGATAGTCATACATATGCTAGGGAATACAATGGAGGCCTTATGGTTGGATGGTTTGAGAAAGAAGCTAAGCCAGCATTTGAAAAAGGACAAGTACCCAAAGACTGGGAAAAATTTGTTAAGCGAGACATAAAGCATTTACGTGGGTATTTTATCTTATGAAAATAAATAGAAAAATTTGTGAAGAAAAAAGTATATTGTAGGGCCTCTGTGGGAATATGCAGTGAACAGATTTCCAATTTTGGAAACTTGTAAAAGTCCTAACTTGGTTAACTCGCCAGATAATTTTACTCCAGATGGGAGATGGATCTTAGGGGAAGCACCTGAAGTAAAAAATTATTTTGTCGCATGTGGAATGAATGGAAATTCTTTACAGGTAAATAATTATCCAGAATGTGTTTCCTTATATTACCTCCCTCCTTTCCTAACATGGTAATTTTCTAGGGTGCTGGTGGAATAGGTAAAGCTGTATCAGAATGGATCATAGAAGGTGAGCCAAGACAGGATTTGCTTCCTTTTATCCTGCAAAGATTTCTCAATGTTCACAATAGTCGACATTATTTGAGAGAAAGAATTAAAGAAGTTGTTGGACGGTATTATATCAAATACTTTCAGAAGAAAACTAAGGCGTACTTTTGATTTTTCTTTTTAGGAACTACTCAATTTTATATCCATTCCAATGTGAATACAAATTTGCAAGAGAATTACGTTGTTCGCCTTTATACAGTGTTTTGCAGACTAGAGGTGCCGTTTTCGGAACTAAAATGGCATATGAAAGAGCACTTTATTTCGATTTGACCTATAAAAGTGTGTATGTAATAAAATGTCACAACATCTTTTGAACTTAATAGTATTTTAGAGGGCCAAGTTAAGGCTGAAATGCCATGGGGAACTTTTTTCAAGCCAAAGTTTTTTGAGTTTATGAAAGAGGAGTATCTTGCCTGTATTGAGGGAGTTGGTATAATAGATATGTCGTCGTTTTCGAAAATAGAAATTAAGGTAAGATTTTTTTTTAAATTTAACTCCTATGGGCTCAGCAATTAACCTTCAAGCAATAAGCATATGTTATGAAAATGATAACTGGCAGGTAGAGAATGAATTCAGCAAGAATGTGCTGATATTTACTGATATGTGGTGTGAAGGACTTGAATTTCATAACAACATGATTTATGGATGTGATTCCTCTCAAATCACAAGCCCCTCTGCTTGCGGCAGAGTTTTCACGATGATGGTTCATCCTAGGTTGCGGATGAGCTTCTAAACGTGATTGCTTCTTTGGAACAGCTTTTTGTGTATCTGGGCAGGAGCTTAATTGTTTCTGCTTGCATATACACGCTGCCGCGCCGTCCCAGTCTGCTGTTGCAGGTACGAGGAATATTGTTTAGGTGTAGATGATATTTTCGCTGTTATGTTGGCTAGAGAGTTTAACTTGCTAAGAGTAACTTGCGTCCATGAAAGCGATGGTATGAGAACTGTTCGTGAAATTACACTGCAAGCGCAACGCTTTGCTAAATGCTCCAAAGCCATTGCCAAGCGGTACTTATTGTGGATAAAACATTTCGGTTCCTGTTCGCCAGTTATTAATATTATATGTATAATAAATTTAAATTAAATTTTGTTAATAACAGATCGTAAATTACTTGAATATGTTCCAATACAATTGGAGAAGTTTCGCGTGTATGTTTCCACCTTACCAATATATGTTTGTTCTTCATTGCAGTCAGGAGGAAATGAGGCCTTACAGTACCTACAAAAAATCTGTTCAAACGATGTTGATATTTCTGTTGGTTCAATTGTACATACAGGAATGCATAATGTTAGAGGAGGTTTTGAGAATGATTGCATGTTAGTTCGACAAACTTCAAACAGGTAATAACATATTCATAGTCAGGTCCATATTATTTATTTTAAAGGAATGGCCGCGAAGGGAATCCTAAAAATATTATTTTTTAGTACCTATCTATAATAATGGTATACAAAAAAAAAAAATTGTTTTACAATGAAAATTTCAAACTGGACTTCAAATGTCATTATTCGGAGCACTATTTTTCGTATTCTTTATAAAATTGCCAGTTTTACCTCGAATCAAAAATTTTAGGTGCACCATACATTTTATATTTATGTATATAAAAGCATCGGGATATTTTCCGTATGAAAAATATATGTACAGTAGGTACCGGCGTTACTGCAATCCACCGCATTTTCCTCATGCTTTTTAAGGCGATGAAGAGAAAATAGAGCTCTCATTTTTTCAATACTTCGCTAGCTATATACCGGTTTTGAACTTATTGGATGTCGTCAGTGCAACACAAGCAGCAAACCAAATCAGAGAATCTACATGTGCGTGAATGTTATTTAGCAATTCACGAAGTGCACGATAAGAACTTCGAGGAGACACACTTGCTTTTCAGGCTCACACTTATGATGGCATTGTGGTGTTATATCAATTTTGTTCTCTGATTTGGTATATTGCTGGTCATGCACTAACGACGTCTAATAAGCTTTCTCTCTCTTTGGCTTGTTTTTAGCTGTATCATTTTTTTAGCTATTTTATGGTATCTCCTACAAGCCAACAAACAAGGGTATTTGAATGGATGAAAAGGAACCTACCAGAAAAAACCACCGTGGATTTGAATGATGTCACTTCAATGTACACGGTATTAAATGTTGTTGGACCAAAAGCCACTCAACTTCTTAGTGAGTTATCAAATAGTGATTTAAAAGTTCCTCCATTCACTTATATGAAAGTTAATGTTGGATATGCATCAGATGTGATGGTAATGTCATTCACTCATACTGGTGAACCGGGTTACTGTTTGTATATTCCTTCTGAATATGCTTTACATGTTTATGATAGGCTGATAACAGTAAGTATCGTTGTATTTTATCTAGGTAAAATTTTCCAACATACTAAGTGCTTCTCAAACTCGTATTCAAATAACCCTGTATACAGTGTTTCATTCAGTTTACATGCGATATACCAAAGGAGGTTCAAATAGGAAAGTATTTATCACTGGATCCGCAGAAATAACAATGCAATTTCTTAGCTCAGTCTGGATCGCTATAAGCAGCGGCAGCACGTACACAGCACCCTTGGGTATCATACTTCAACTTACAAATTATATTTATCAAAGTACATAATAGAAATTTAAATTGTCTTATATCAATAGCCTACAATCATATATAGGTATTTTATGTTGTATACAGGGTGGCGTACGAAAAACTTCCAACCCAGGTTTTCTCAGGTATTAGGTGTTGAATCAAAAATCGCTCGACGTCAATTTTTGTTTTTTGGGAGACACATTTTAAGGGGTGAAAATTTACCTGTTAAGCGGGATGACAGAGACCCCCAAAATTTCAAATGGAAAGGGGGATCAAGTGATACGTCATTCGGTAGCTATTTCTATGAAAATTATATCCCCAAAGTTTTAAGTTTCTACTATTTACCCTGCCGAAATGGCGGTTTGTCAAAGTTAGGAAAAATGCCTTTTTCCGAGTATCCGAACTGTGTGGTTTTTATCACACACAAACCACAGATTTTTTAACACATTGTATAACGCGTCGGGCATAACTACCCGACAGTTGATGATTATCACTTAACACCTGAGAAAACCTGGGTAGGTAGTTTTTCGTGCCTCACGCTGTATATGATTTTATTTTTTGTATCTCTCATTTGGAATGCTTAAAAGCAATTCGCAGATTCGTAAAGCAATTTCGAAAACTTTTCTATCAAATTAACTGCAAATAATTTTGGGTATTAAATTTCTAGATATGACACTTATATTTATGATTGGGTAAGATTGCTGGGAAGAATTAATTCTCATTTTCATAATCCCTAATAGCGAATATATTTTAATTTAAAACTCCTAAAAATTTCACAGGTTGCTAATGTTATTAATTATTTTAAAAAAAAACCTTTTCATTTAAATGTATTCATTATGTATTAATTTCAACTAGATTTAATACAGAAAGGATTAGGTATCCAGTTCTAAATAAATGCTAAAATTATAGCCCGATCTTAACAATTTCATGGTCACTGTGGACAACATTACAAGTTTCCAGCACCTAAAGAATTAACTTCATGAACCATTAATCTATTTCCTATGAACAGTGAATATATTTAGTTGCCTTTTTTTAGGTTGGAAAAGATTATGGTGTCAGAGATGTTGGTGTGCTAACTCAAAGGTTTATGAGGCTTGAAAGATTTATACCATTTTGGGCGGAAGAACTCAGTAGTTTCACTACCCCATTAGAGGCTGGTAATGATTGGTGTGTTAAACTGGACAAGGTTGGTTAATATCATTCATTTGTAAATATTTTCAAACATTAAATAAATATTTTAGAAAGACGATTTCATAGGAAAAGAAGCGCTAGTTAGACAAAGTAGTACTGGTGTGAAAAAAAGACTGGTATTTTTTCAGTTTAATGATATGGATCCTGATGCGGATATTTGGCCATGGGGCGGTGAACCTCTTTACAGAAATAACGAGTTTGTTGGTACAGTTACATCAGCAGGGTCAGTAATTATGTAATTAATAAGAACACGTAATAAAAACTCTTTATTTATTAAGATTATGACTGTGTGATTGGATCATACCCGCCTGTCATGACAAGTTATTTGTTGATATTTAATAAAATATTACTTGTTCTATATTTTTAGGCCTATTCGGGTTTGGAAAAAGTACGGTTCTAGAATGGTCCAGAAGAATCGCACAGTTTATTATTGAAATTTGTGATAGTCGAGAGTCGTTGTTATTTTGTTGATCAATAAACTGGACGATTGTTTTGAACCGTTCTAGAACCGTCCTTTTTCCAAACCCGAATAGGCCTTTTGACAGGTATCTTTAAATAATTAATCAAACACGTCAGAAACTAAAACAAAATCTCCAAGTTTGAGCCTTTTTCACAGAAAAATTATGAAGGATGGAATCGATTTTTAACTCGTATAAGACTCAATTTTTTTTCTTCACTGTATTCGTAAGTGGGATACAAAAAGCTTTGTTCCAACACAGCAGGAGACCGTACATTGTACCATCAGACTTCTGCGCAAAATCTAACATTTGTGCGTAGAATCCTGAATTCGTATACAGAGAGGTTTCAAAACCGTCCATGGGGCTGTCTTTGACTTGTCGGAACAGACCTTCTGTAAACTTGCAACAAAGTGTTGACTTTTATTTTTTTTTAGGTATGGTTTTGCCGCAAATAAATTGATAGGTCTGGGATTTATTACCAAACCTAAAAGTGAAAAAAATAAAATCGTCACCAAAGACTACATTCTTGCCAAAAATGCAATTTATGAAGTAGATATAGCAGGTAATCGATTTGGTGCAACACCTTATTTACATGCTTTAACTGTGCCAAGTTTCCATAATGATAAAAGGGAGTATAGACCTGTTGCCACAAAAACGTAAACATATTTTAATATTTATAATAATTAATTTATTAGCTTCACATAAAATTTTAGAAAATAATGAGGTAATTACCATTTTTTTATAGCTGTTTTTAGTTTTCGATATCAATAATTTAGGAGTCCATTCACTTGTCCAAAATATTCATAATATTAATGCTGCATTAGAATTTGCCTAAATTTGTCTGAACAAAATTCGTTCTCACATGCGTTTTTTCTTTACATCTTTCTTTGCTAGAGGTTCAAGTGAATGGACTCTTGATAGTCGTTTCTTCGGCTTCCAACTTTGTATGTGAATATTATTGAAATAGGTATATTTTCTAAACATATTTGACTTTTTTTTGCAGTAATATGCCTAGAGTACTGGTGTATGGTACCTTTTGTTACATCTTCAAATTTTTTGTCTGTAATTATTTATCTTCCTTCTTACTATGTTTCAATAGATATAAAGAGTTTGTGAAGAATCGCTTTCAAACGTTGTTCTATAGCCAATAAAAAACTACATATTAGACTTTTTTTAAGTATATTTATTTCGTAGGTATTACATATGTAAAATAACAGAAATATAAATATGTATTAAAAAACATTTGTTGGTAAAACTCCTTTAAATTTTTTTAAATTCTTTCCCGAAATGACCCATTCTAAATTTAATAATCAAAAAAGTTGCGAATTAGTTTCATTTCATTTTTTCGATAAAAAAATATGTTGGTGCAAATATTATTGTAATATTCACAGGGGAATTTCCGTTGAAATTGAGGCAAAGTAAGATTGTTTCAATACATAAAAATGGAGATTCCCATAATGTCTCAACAAATTATCGGCCAGTTTCTTCGTTACTTTCAAAGGTCTTCGCGAGAGCAATTTGCAAAAGGTACAGGTACTGTTCTGATGAAGTTGAATTAAATATGCAGAAAATGCATACCTATACATATTTGCACATTGCATGTTGTCCGCTTTTTTCTTATCACTTATATATTCATAAAATAACATTATATAGCATAACAAATACTGGAAACATTGTACAAAATCTTAAATACAAGCGGTTACCTGTGTCAAATTAAATATTATTATTAATTTTAAGTAAGTTATAAATGATTATAAAATTAATATATTATCACATTAAAACACTAATGATTATGATAAGTAGTATATACCATCAATAAATGAAAAGTAAATAGTTAAAATATACTCCTCGACAAAATTATCGCACCACTGCTTATGGTGATGCTTATGTGCAGTGGTGCGACAATTTTGTCCAGGAGTATATTAATAAATATCTATTAAAATCTATGAAATAATTACAAATAGACTATATACTTAGTGGAAAAGACACAAAACTTTAAATGCCTACATTAATTATTAATAATTGGCAATACTATCAAGAGGACCCAAATTCATTCATCCATTTTTCATATTTGTCTAAATCTTCTTTTGAGACACTCTTATTATTTTTTGCAATAGCTTCTTCAAAATCCTTTGTAGTTACAGGCAGATCTAATTCTTCTCTTGGTAGCTGCTTGATTTGATCAGGTTTCAATCCACAGATTTTTCGTCTCATTGACATCATCGAAGCGTCACGACAAACATTGGTGACATCAGCTCCTGAATATCCATCTAATTTACGGGCAATTCTTGCAAGATTCACATCAGGATCTAGTTTAACTTCTCTCAAGTTAATTTTTAATAGCGCCTCTCTACCTTGCAGAGTCGGCAATGGTATGTAAATTCTTTTTTCTAATCTTCGCCTCAGAGCTTCATCAATATCCCATGGAAAATTTGTGGCTGCGAGAACCATAACAATTTTGCCTGGTTCACCAGTGTTTGCTGTAATCCCATCCATTTGTACGAGCAGTTCAGATTTAACTCTTCTGGATGCTTCATGTTCTGATTCTGAACCTCTTCTGGAACATAGCGAATCGATTTCGTCTATAAAGATAGTACTAGGAGCGTAAAAATGAGCCTGAAATAAACATGATTTTAGATTTTGAAAAATCAGGCAAGCTTGGAGCTGCAAATATTTCACTAGAATGAAGGCCAATTTTTATCCAAACATCATCGAAAAGCGCAGCACAGATAAGGAATAGCGGAGTAAAGTTACAATGTTGTGTGCTTGGATTTAGGTTCTTCTGAGCAGAGTGACCCACCACAGAATACACACAGACAATGCAAGCGTAACTGCATTGTTGACTGGAAATGGAAAATAAAAACCCCAAACTAAACTAACTCAACCAATGCCCAATAGACGCGACGCGTCAGCCATCTATAATTATTATATCTATATATGAACTTCGGTAAAGCAATGTTTCCTGTTATATAGAAACGGAAGGAAAAACGGATCAAGTTTGGTACAAGTCTTAGAAAAATATCAACAAGGCGGCCGCCAGTGAAAGTGCAGTTGCTGAGAAATTTTCTTGCATTGCCATCTTTAGGTCATCTATATACCTACATATAAAATATTTTTTTCACTATTCAAGATATTTGAAAGATTAGAAAGATAACAGCGAGGATAACAGCTTAAAGATTTATAAATTAAATCGGTTCAAGTTTCAAATTACTTACCATCTCAAAAAGTAGCCTAACCATCTTTTCAGATTCACCTCTATATTTAGATGTCAGAGTTGAAGAAGAAACATTAAAAAAGGTTGTTCCACATTCTGTGGCCACAGCTTTTGCTAGCATAGTTTTACCAGTGCCTGGAGGTCCAACCATCAACACACCTTTCCAAGGCCTTCGAATACCTGTGAAGTTACACATAATAGTTGAACAATAATTTAAAATTTTTCTAATAATGTACCAGTAAAAAATTCAGGCATCCACATAGGTAAAACTACAGCTTCTTCCAGTAATCTTTTGGCTTCATGTAAATCTGCAATATCATCCCATCTTATATTTGGATTTTTTTGCACTATGTCTCTTTCTAAAACATCAGCTAATTCTCTTTCCATACCGTTACATTCAAATTTCTTTTCTTCTGGGGATTCTTCTTTAACTTCAGATTTCATGGTTAAATCTGATGAATCGGTAATACCTTCTGCATTTCTAAAAACAATTGTTTTATTTATTCACATTTTAATTCAAGCTAAAATACTAAGTTGCGACTCTGTCTGATAAAATAAAGTTAAACTTTCTGTAAAGAACCCACTACTACTGATGAGATTAAATTAGGTAGGTACCTACTTCTGAACTTATTTCAAATGAATGAATGATTTTATTTTAAAAAATAAATAAAAATGCTAAAGGAACATTGAAGAAATTGCCGTTTGGCAGCTTTTCATGGGAGAAGTTAGAACATGTATCATAAATGCACTAAGTAATACTTTCAACTTTCATTCCCTAAGAATGCCTATACATTGACATTTTTAAAACGGTTTGAAATCCGTTAAGTTTAAGATTTGGTAACCCGAATAAAACAGTTTGGCAATTTTCTGGAAGCGAAATACAACTTAAGGTATGCCTATTGGAGGAAGCAGTATTGATGAAATATAACGGGGTTTTCGGTTTCACAGGTGTGCCGGGGCTGAATGAAAACCAGGTGAGGATTAACAAGCATAAAGAGACCTTTCTGATTTTGAGCTAGAAGGTCTATCTTCTCTTCTATTATTTCTGCCAATGCTTTTTGGTCCTTCCGATTTTCTACTTGCAGTAGATGAACTTGCTCTGGCACTGGTTTGGCCTTTTTTTAAATCCGATTTTTTTGTATTAGTTGGTTTGTTAGATTTTGATCTGAAATTCTTCAACATTGAATAATAATTCAATGAGTAATATGTTAAAGTTGTTACTTTGTCAAATTTCCATGATCAACAGGGGTAGGAGCTGGCCAAACATCTGGATCATCTGAGATATCTAAACTACTCAAATCAGGTGGTAAATCTCGTTTTCTAGCTCCTATAGGTACATCGCCACTGCATTCTAATTTAAATGTGTCTAATATACCTTTTAAATCATTCAACTCGCCGTATTCTTTGCTCACTTTCTTTTGCATCTAAAATATTAATGTAAGTAATAGTATTTGATTTATTTAATTTGAATAAGTACTTGCTGCCATTTATCTTTTCTTATAGGATCTGGTATTTGGGATATAAATTTTGACATAAGTTGCAGTGATCCTTGGTAGTAAATAATAGCATTTTCATAGTTTCCTAACACAGTTAATTCTCTTGCTATTGCAACATTATCACAAATTTCCTTGACGCTCCCACCAGTGTTTGCCATGGTTTAAGTTTCACCTGAAATTTTGAAAAAAATTAGGACATTAGAAAGTTTTATCTATAGTTACCAGGGGCAGCTGGTCGATTTAGCAAACTGAGATTTAAATAAATACAATAACTGGTTTGGTTACTAGAAAATAAGTGAAAACTGAATATATGATATTTAGGGCCGGTTTATTCACCTTCTGATAGACTGTCAGATATGCAATATAACGGATAAAAACGCAATCTGTAATCCCAATGGTTTTATGAATTTTGAGAAAAACCTGATACAGTACAATAGGCCCCTTGATTTCCAAAATTTTGGGGGGGCTGAGCGTCAAGTTAGCCCCGCATCTTGTTTTTCCTATAACTTTGGTATCAGAACAGCATAGTTCAAAGTGGTTGCAATTTTGTTGGAAAATTTGAATGTGGGGGGGCTAACTTGACGGAGCTTATTTTTGAGCTTTTTGAATTTATTTATAAGTAAAATACAATAACTTTAATGCAGGAATTTGCGTCGGAACTCTCAGGTTGCGTTTATAACTGGAAGCTTGCCAAAATTGACTCCGTAAGACATAATAAGGTACATTCAGGCGGTCCCAGCGGCTTAGCTCAGCCACTCAGCAGGAACTTTATTCTCGAAACAGGGGAGTAGCGTTCTCATTGAAACGAAGGTTCTGTCTTTGTCATCCGGCATAACACTGACAATGACAGAGCAGTCGTTCTTATGAGAACGCTGTTCCTTGGTTTCGAGAATAGAGTCCCTGTTGAGTGGCTGAGCTTAGCCCGCTGGGACCGCCTGAATGTACCCATAGACTGACTATCAGCCTTATCTTTATAGTATTGAAGAGTAATTTCTGTAAAAAGCCATTTACTATTTAATTTAAAATTTTTTCCTGATCTGTTCGCTCATTTTCCACCGCCCACTAATTTATGCTTACCGCCCCCCAAAATCAGCTGAGCTCTTTACCGCCCCCCGAGATGGTTGTAGCACCCACTGGGGGGCGTTATCGCTCACTTTGGGAACCACTGGGTTAGAGGCTAGAAAAATAGGCATTGGGAAAAAAGCAATTATTTCAATGTAATTTAGCTTCTAGACTCTAGATAAATTTAAAAAAAAAGACTATTTTACTTGCCTTAGAGTAGAATTGTTTAATTTTCAGATTCTGCCTTCGACTTTATTTAAAAGGAAAATTCCTGTTTATGTTGACATCTGATTTTGTTTTGGTCTGTTCGTTAATTAGGCGGCGTTCCGTATCTTAACCAGAGCTACCGATCGGTATGAAGCAGTTCGTCTATGGTAACTTGAGCTGGGTTCTGCTATTCAGCGCGGAGTTGGAGTGGAGTAGGAACAGAACTAATGGAGTCTCCCCAATACGGTAAAAAGCAATACCCGAACCTTAACCCGAACGGCTAGAGTGCGAATGGATTCACTCGGATTGCACGGAGTGAGCAAGCCGAACCCACCTTTGGTAACAGTCTGGTTCCTGAAAATGCGGTTTATGTGTGGAACGCTTCGGTTCAGCAGTTCAGCTTTGGTTTGGCTTGGATGCTTGATGATAGAATAAATCTTCTTAAATGTATGTAATATTTACCTCTTGTTCCAGCTTCACCGTAAATACACTTCGAAAGCAAACCGCAGCATACCGCTCAAATTCGAGTGGTAGGTATCCATCACGGAACGGGAACCGAAGAAAAAACCAAGAATCTTGGTTAACTTACGGAACGTCGCCTTAGGGTGGGTATTATAAAACTGCTTTGACAGTTAACTTGAAGTAAACTTTTTAAATTACATGTAATTCCAGAAGTTAACTTCAAGTTAACTTTCAAAGAAGTTTTATAATACCCGCCCTTAGGGTGGGTATTATAAAACTGCTTTGACAGTTAACTAGAAGTTAACTTTTTGAATTACATGTAATTCCAGAAGTTAACTCCAAGTTACCTTTCAAAGTAGTTTTATAATACCCGCCCTTAGGCCTAATAAAAATTAGGGTTTGTGAAGAGTGAATAAATAAATATGTAAATAAATTCCTTTACGGGCGCGTTTACTATTGGCGTTTTCCATTTGTTGCACGGAGGTGCACTCAGTGCAATTTTTATATTCCATTTGACTGCACATTTTCAGTTTTCATTTTCCATTTGAAATTCAGTGCAATTATTTATGCACTCAGTGCGCATTTTTTGGCACGAGCTAGGAAGGCTCGTGGAGAGCCAGTGCAGTTTGTTTTGTTTATGTTTACATGTACCCTACATAAAAATGTCTGCTAATTTCCAAAGAAAAAGTTGTTGCAGTTTTGTATTTAATATCTGGCTGCAGCGAAGTTGAACTCGATGACGAAATTATATTATTTGAGCGAATTTCGCAGCTTATCCACGTTGTTTATACGTATATTATTATTGTTTATTGTTGTTTAAAAATATTGTCTGATGCGAAGTACTCTAAATTATTTATAGATAGGTAGTCCAATTTCTTCCAAATTCAACAGCGGTTGAAACCGCGGAGAAGAACTAGAAGAAGCTGTAATTTTAAATAAATGATCTGGACCATCGAACTAAATATTTATTATGTATGATTTCTTCATTAATTCTGAAAGTACTGCTTTTCTTGCTTCAAGCAGATCTCAGCAGCTGACCGGCGTTCACTTGTCCCATAACTCCCATATAATAAGCTCATAAATAGCAGATCATCCTGATTTTTCGAGCAGGTAGCAAGTACAAATGAACAGCCTATATAAAACATGCAGAGCAGGAAGCAGAAACCGGCAAGTGCTAAACAAAAACAACAAACCAACATATGATTTTACATAACCCCAAAAAAGTCTGAGGGGGAATCCGAGCCGAGCCTGCCTGCATTTTTGCTTTCCATTTATATTGCACTGGTGCGCGTTTTTGACAGCACTCGTGCGCACTGAATGCTGCACTGAGACGACAAATGGAAAACGCCATATGAAAACGCATGGAAAATATGGGAAACTTGCAATGTTTTTCTGAAATATGATTATGAGAATCTAAATTAGGTATCACTATTTGGCTTTGTGAAATAAGCTCACTTTGAATGTCCATATTAAATCGTTCTAGTACCTATTAAATTAATGAATAATAATTGAGAAGTACCTAGGTAGGGTCAGTAAAAAATAAAGTACACTATTGCAACCCCGTTTCGCTTATATTTTGATATTGAAATGCAAAAATTAAACCGGCTCGGCACTCCACATTTGGTTTTCTACTGTTTCTCAACTGTAGTCAATTGTGCCCGTTTTGTGCTCAATTGTGCCAGTATTTATGCGAATTGTGCTCATTTTCATACACAAAAAAAACATTGAAACGAATCCGGGGGCAAGCTTGACTCCAGCCCTTCGTTTTTTTGACTTTTTGGCAATATGTTTGGCTAATTGATAAACAAAAGCAAACAAACTCGTCTTTCTAATTAGCAATTAGCCAACCACTCAAGCCTCAAGGACACAAGCTTTTGAAGTCTGCTAATTTTAAAATCAATAAATTAATTACAAATTACAGTTATCAAAGGAAATAACCTCAAAATAACAATTTTTCACGTTTGAAAATGCAAGGATAGTGCACTGTCATAAAAAACACAAACCGATCAAGGACTGCGTGACGTCATTCGCATACCGCCATCTTCGATGTTTTTATGAACGTTTGTCTTATGGGATTGAGCAATCCTGTAGAGTTTACGATTCTTGCCCTGAGACATCATAGGGAGTGCACCGTGTCAAGCCAAATAAATTATAGTCCATTTTTTTGAAAATTTTAGAATTCTACTCAATTATCAATAACAATAAGTTATTTAAAACTTCTCACCTGAGACAAAAAAAAAAAACGAGGAGTTCTAGAAAAAAAACGCAATCCTGAGGTGCTTTCTTTACAGAGCTTTGAAACCCCAGCTTCGACGCCCTGTGGGGCGCGTCAGGGCTGCATTCATGAAAGACGCCCGGGTGCGCTTCCTGCGTGCTCCAGCGTCCGGATAAGTCGTCCATGGATCGGGATGCTTCAAAAAAGAACTAAACTACGAATGTACATAATTCTAAATCAAAACATGTGGAGATAGCAAATTACACAATTCACCTCGGTTGTCGCATTTCTTATCCCGTTTAAGTCACTCCAACTACCCGAGTAAGATTTACCTAAGTAGAATATAACCCGGGTTGTCGAATCGTGCATGCACCCCAGTGCACGCTCTGAAAACAACGGTAATAGTTGTATTCCTTTCACACCTAGGAGGAGCTCCGGAACAGCTCCGGGACTTCACGCGCTTATTCCTTTCGAAAAGCGTTTGTTGCGCCACACATCTGTTCCCTGCAAATCGGGGGCGGCTGAACACCGGAACGAGTTGCTCGAGTGTTTCAAGCTCTTGAAAGGAATACAACTACTGCATGTAACATGTAAAGGGCCCCATACACTACGGTGAAACACGACGGTTTTCACCGCCGCGAGGAAACACGTCGTGCCAAAACCGAAGTGTGTGGTAGAAAACCGTCGTGTTTTTCTACCACACACTTCGGTTTTGGCACGACGTGTTTCCTCGCGGCGGTGAAAACCGTCGTGTTTTACCGAAGTGTATGGGGCCCTTAAGGATAAGGATACATTTTTTTTGCACTGGTTCGACAAATGGAAACCGCTATAGAATCGTTCGAGAACAGTACAAAGTTGGGGTCTGCGCTTGAAACTAGTCCTAATAGTTACAGAGCGGATCTGAAACATGAGGTTGGAACAAACCTAATTTTCTCTATTTACCTATCCTATTTGCTCTTAACAGATTTCAAGTCGTTCATTTCTCTCGCGTCATGTAGGTATTCAGTCTGGGGGTCTACCAATGAAATCTTTTCTTTCCTTGCACTGTGACGTGACGTCATATAATGTAATGTCTTTAGTCTTTTCATTTTAGAGGGTTTTGTTAACATTTTGTTCATTTTTGAATTAATTGAAGCCAAATTACTGTAACTAAAATTAATTAATAATGTAAAACTCATATGAAATAAATGTATTTTGTTCCACGCCTTCTTCGCTTATTCTTTATCTTAGAATATTCAAAATCCATACATCTCTAGCTAGTCTCTACTCTGAAAATGAAGTTAGTCTGACATTTCCTGCAGAAATTGGGTTGTAAGGAGATAATAGACTGAATTAACTTGGATCTACTAAAATTCAGGTAAATTTATTTATTTAATATAAATTTTGAAATAAATTGAATAGCTTAGATTACGCCCCCCTTGTGTCTTCAGTTCCTAGTAAAAGAGGTTAGAATTAATAAAATGTAGGAATGATTGAATGAAAACAGGATAGACGACAATAAACAGCAGGTAATTTTCATTTTCAATTTGTATCAGTCAGTCTGTGTGCAGTCAAGTGCAGTGCTGACTGTAGTTCAGGTGAGCTAACTTGTGATTGTTAACCAACTCAACACATCTCATTCTTCCTCAGGTGATTGTAAACGTTATTATTATTCTGTTACTTTTATAAATAAACTATTCTCCCTATCATAAGTACATTTTTTATTGCTTTTGAAACATTTTTTTTGTCTATCTGCTAGCCCCTAAATAAATAGATACCAAACATCCGAAAAATGTGCCTTAAAGCAATATTATCATTTTCCTTGTTTGTTTTCAAATCAGAAATATCCGTTTGGATTGTTCACTAAAAATATCTAGTGATTTTCTTCTTGGCCACTATTCATCCAACTATCATCCTATTGATTTGTGATATAATCAAACAAATTAAGAAAAAAGATCAGTGATTTTTTCCTAATTTTTCAAGTTGAATGTGTCCTTAAAAAACTATGGCAGTTCCCCAAATAATTAGGGCTGTGTTAACCAAGGTGTTAGCATACTTCACAGTGTATTCTTTTGGTCCCTCAGGTTGAAATAAAAATATACACCCATCAAAATAGTCTAGGGAACAAGATAATACCTATACTTATCAGACATTTTTTGCTGATTTCATTTATAAAATATTAAAACTAAACAATCTTGCAAAAAAAGCCGATATGGTAAATTTGATATGATTTGTTTAATAAATGATTACCAATTAAAACAAAGTTGTTTTGTTTTAAAATTAAAAACAGATATTTTTTTATCTAGACTATTCTGATGAGTGTATTTAGGACAATAGTAATAACCTGATGTCGCCAATATATAGGCTTGTTACATTACAAGATAGGCTGTTTTCGAAATTATCCAAATGTCATTTAATTTGGATAAGGAGGAAGGTGTTTATTGTAAAAAATAAATTTTATTTGAACTTTTTAGCCCCGGTTCATTCATCTTGCAGATAATTATCTGCAAGATAAATATACCGATCTATAATCGTATTGTTCGGCGGATAACTGCGTCAGATTACGCATTACCTGACTCTTTATCAGAAGGTGAATAACTAGCCCTTAGAATAACATAATTTATTTAGTAGGTACTGAAAATTGTATCATATTTATATTATTTCTATGGGTATGATCTCGACATACCCATAGAAATAAATATATTGGAAATTTTCATGGGTCAAACAGCTCATTTAAGTAACATTTTTTCAGCAGAGCATCTGTTAAAAATTTGGCAAAATGTCAAATTTGGGGCTTTTTAGGTGCGAATGAGCTCCAAGTAAAAATATTGTGCTCTTCTACGTTTAAAATAAATTTTTAAAACAAGCTATACAAAATTTTAAAAAATATTTCAGTGCTCCTGTCTAACTTGCAGTTGAACCATTTGGCAGTTCTAAAGGATATGGGAGCCCTTTCAAATATTCATATTTTTTATTCAATTGACTTTCCAATTAGGGCACCCTATTAGCACTCAAAAAGCATCTCAATGTAATAGGTATAAGTGAATATTGTGTTTGACGGCTACTCTCTGCTAACAGAGGTAATTCCCATGGGTTAATCAAACATTACCACCTCTAGACTGAAATTTTTCCCACAGAGATTTTGGCATAAGAATAAAGCACATTATTATTTCATCATAGTTCAATTTCTATTTTTCCCATTTAATTTTAAATTTTTCCTTGAATTTTTCATCTGGTTTCTTTGAACCATCTGATGGAAATAGGGTCCTTGCAGATATTTTTTTTATTGTATGAAAATGATTAATTAGACTCAAATAGTATCCCTCCAAAATATTTTCAAAATACGTGGAATATTAAGGTCGTAATAAATAATTAAAATTCAAACTGGCTAATTTCCCGCTAAAAACGTAGCCTTGATATTTCAGCTGTCAGTGACGTCACGAGGTATTATTTTGTTTTAACGTTCTCATGATTCTTATGAACCTTACATTTTTTGACGAAGTTTTAAATTATTTTTGAGTTGCAATGGTTTATCGGTATTGTATTGTGCCAGGATGTAGAAGTACAACAATTTCCACTCCTGGAAAAACTTTTATAAAGCTACCTATGGAAGAAAAACAATGAAAAATATGGCTAGAAGCCATGAGATGGCAGCCTAAAGATATCTCATTACAAAGTCATGTTTACCTATGTGAAGACCATTTTGATGTAAGTACATATTGAGATTTGTAAAGTTGTGTTGGATTAAAAATTTAATTTAAATATACTCCTGGACAAAATTATCGCACCACCACTGCACATAAGCACCATAAGCAGTTGTGCGATAATTTTGTCCAGGAGTATATATAATATAATAATAAAACGTATGGCGGCTAAGGCCAGCCGTCTCGGTTCATACCTCGTGACGTCACAATTAATGGCGTAGCTTTTTCCTATGACGTCAAATTCGAAAAGTGCGGCCGAAGTTTGTTAATTAATAAATTGGGTAATTAGAAGTTTTTTTTGGAAAAAAATATTATGGAGGGTTATTTATTGTGTTTAAGAAGGTATTTAAGAAGTTTTCAGATAAAAATTAAAATACGTGCAAGAGGCCTATTAGGTCTATGGGGATTAATCGATAAGTATGTAAGATAGGTTTAAGAGTTATCTCTGTTGTTTCAAGCCCTACAGGGTTGAGACTACGTATTTGGGGAGTCTTCAAGCGGTGTTGCCAGTTGTACGATTTCCTAAACTTAGAGGAAACCCAAATTTGGCAACGTCGCACTCAGAATGATTTATAACAGTATCTTATCTCAATTTTTGAGAATGGTTTCTATATTGTCTTTAGGGACGTTACTATGGCTAAAAGTAGCAGACCTAGAAAAAAAATGGATGCATATTTCAAAAACCTGGAAAAAAACACCCACTGCCTCAACCACAACAAAAAGGGCTTCTCCCACACCAAAACTCAAGACTGGAACATTTTTAGGGAATTTGCTGAAGAAGTATATGGTAACCACTTTTCCTTTTATTTATAGAATTTTATATAAGGGTTCACTAAAACTCTTGTACAGGATTTGCTACAACTTAACGGTGTCTGAAATGCATCAGGGTTGTGTAAAAGAATAATATTTACTTTACATAAGTAGGAATACAATAATTAGACATTTGTAAAAGGGATAAAAAAACTCAACTAGGCTACATGCTGCATAATGATTATAGAAGAACATAACTACTGTTCATATTTATTTTCATAAAATCTTTGATAAAAAAATGGACCCTTTCACTAAAATTCAAATGCGTAATTTAGGCATAAATATCTTAAACGAGGGCCATTTTCAGGTATATTTTCCAAAAAAAAAAACAAAAACCTACGAGTTTAAGTTTTCTATAGGCACCTCAAAACACGAAAAATTTAAAATCATTGAAACACGTCAGACGTTGACGTATGAGCATCCCAATCAAATTTAAGAAGGGTGCTCGAGCGACAGAGCGCAAACAGCTGTTGCGGATGCCGCTGGTAAAAGCTTTGATGGCCTGTGGCCAGTTGTGACTGAATGTAGAATGTGAGAAAAAAATAAATACCTAAACTGAATAAAAAAAAATATAAGTTTAAATTGTGTATAATGATAATTCAACAAAAAAAATGTTATAAAAACTTGAAACTTGCCTAACTGATTAACAATTTTTCATGGTATTTTGCCAACATTTTAAAATTAAAACTTTTAAGTACATATTAATGTTAAATGCTGACTAGTGGTAACACTTTCAATGTGATGTATGGGGCATAAATTGCGTGTTTTTATTTGGAGAGTTTTCTTTTTTATTAATTTTCTCACGAAGGACTCCCAATTTTTCAGTGAGGGTGCAGAAAATTCTACTTTTAGTTCCTTTATCCCATTAAGTATGCGAATTAGTGGAAGAGTCCATTCAATTCAAGCAGAGCCAATTAGATCCCCTGAAAATTGTTTTCTATCTTTGATTCAAACACCTGAATGAACTTTATTTCGTCAGGCTATTTATTATACACTTTTATAAGACAAATGCATGCAAAAATTGTGGATGGCTAGAAGTATAACTTAATTTGGTTATATTTATTATTGGTTTTAAAATAGTCTTTTTTTAGGATAATCAATGATCTTTAGCACATTTTTAAGGTACTATTAATCCTGTTGGATATCAAAAGGCGTTAAACCTATAAAAGTAACTCTTTCAGGGACTATTGGTAACCAAAATTTAGGTATGTTTTTTCTCTTATTTCCCAAATTGAAAGTCGAAAGCAGTCAGACAAAAAAAACAAAAATTTAAAGCTATTTCAGTTCAGAATCTGAAACACCAATTAACAACACGGATGGTCTGACGTGAAGCAATGTCATCGTAGAAATTTCTAACTTGATGGAATGAAATGAAATATATCTTCATTAAGTAACTAGGTTGGTACACCTGATACATATACACAAAAATACAACATAAGAAAAAATGCCTATTAGACATACAAGTAACTGGAGCTACTGAACTCTATAAGTTTGGCCATGTAAGAATAAATGGAAAAAATAAATAGGCAAATGAATTACCATGAATCTTATCTAGAGACTCATAATCAATATAATAATAATCATAAAATATTAATCAATAATAAAACATTAACAATTGATTTTTGATAGTTTTATCAGTGTAAACCACTTACTACTGTTAACATATACATATTATATTCAAGATTATATTTTATGTAAGAAAGGAATGGCATCCGCAGTAAACTATCAATCAGAATACCTAGAATTTGGGAACCAATCCTGATTATAAGTTAGAATATGTTATAACCTGGAACTTTTGGAAAATTCTTTGATTCACTTTATAACAAACACAGATAAAAGACAGTAGGAAATTTCAGACATTAAACCAAAACGGTTATTTGTAAGTATTCAGGAAGTTCCAAGTTTTTTATTAATAGAAACATTACCTACCTTCAGAGCCATCTTACTACATGAAAATCTTTGCATGCAGAGTCCCAAACCATTAGCGCAAATATTTTAAAAAGTTGATTTTTACTACTAATATTTTTAGTTAGAAACTTTTTTGTTGGTGTTTTTTTATTGATAATAATAATGATTTTCCTGATTTATTTATTTCATGAAGAAGAAAAAAAGCAAGACAACCTACCTGCAAAAAAATCCATTCCTGCTGCACAGTTACTACCTAGAAAAGATGTTCACTTAGAAAAAAGTATGTATTTTTTCCTTATTTTTTCCTTATTTTTTTCAAGTTAAATTCTTTCTTGGTGTTTATTTTATTTTTAGTTTTATTGATAATACATTTTTTTTTTGATTTACTTTTTTATTTCAAGAAGACGAAAAAGAACAAGACAATATATTGCCAAAAAAACCCATTCCTGCTGCACAGTTACTACCTAGAAAAGATGTATCACTATACGGAAGAATTCCAGCAATGGAACAAAGGGTCTATAGTAAATGTAACAATTGCTGCCGTGTGTTTAATCCTAAAGACATTTCATCTCACCGGACTTGTTCAAAAATGCAAAACCCGTATTCTAGTTTGCTACTTAAAAAGAAAGTTAAAAGTAGAAATGGGAGCAATAATGGTAAAAAGGTGAATTCCAATGGTAATTCAAGTTCAACGAATATTGTCAGTCCTTTGGGTATATCTACTCCTTCTTTGCTAGATCCAACGAAAGAATTTGAATTTAAGGTAAGAGCATTACTTATAATTTACTTTATTTCTGTATGTACTGCTTTCTGCGACACGAATCATATTAATCGGATCAGAGTACTTGGCTACTAAAGTTTAAATTTATTTTAAATTTACAAGTTAAGTATGTAACTTACTTAATAGGTGCACAGAATATATGAACTTGAACCAATCGATTGAATTCCTTTAAAGTCAAGGATCCTTCAATGTTTGTGGGAAGAGTATTAAAAAGACAAACCTCCTCATGGAATAATGATTTTTGAAGCTTGTTTGTTTTTACTTGATATTATAAATTTCTTTTGATCTTATATTATCTGGATGTATTTCTGACCTTTTTTTCAGGAATGAATTTAAATATTTTGGTGATAAATTGTGTTCAATTTTATAAACTAAAATTAAGTTTGCCTTTTCTATACTCTGTCTAGCTGAGAGCCAACCCAGTGTGGTTAGCACATAATATTTGATAGTCGTATATCTGTCACAACCCAACAATATAAGCATAACTTTATTTTGTTGAACCTGAAGCTTATTCATAACCTCCTTGTTACATGAGATCAAAAGAGACATACAATAACTTGAATGAGGGAAAATGATTGTATTATAAATAATTTTTTGGTCCAGGCAGATACATGTAGTGATATTCTTTTCAAAAACCATTTTTTTTCTTAATTTCTTAGACAGATATTGAACATGACTGCAAAAATCAAGTTGAGGGTCTAGAAAAATTCCCAAATATTTAATTTCCTGTTCATATTCAGTAATTTCTCTATCCAAGATTTGATATTCTTGTCACTAAATTTTTTACAATTTTTCTTACTTGACAAGAATCAAAATACCTTTAAAACAATGTACCATCTTCCCTATCTAAAAAAGAGGTATGAAAGTCACCCCACCAAGGGGGTGCACCCTAGCCAAACACCGATGGGGTCAAATACTTTTCCCCTTGAATACAAAATTAACATGTCCGAGTGTTTTTTTTTAAATCGACTTCAAAATACCCCAAAACGCCTCTGTTTCGATGTTCGTGAAACGCCCTGTATATGGAGTATTTTCTTGAATAGTGTCTTCATTCAACTTTTCTTGTAGCACTACCAAAAAATCATTGGTTTTATAGAAATGGGAGATCTGTAGCATGTACCAACTATAACAACTGTATTCAGGTCGATATGAATTTTGAGGATTCACTTCCAATAGGTACTAGTTACTGAATCATTATGCATTACTTCGAATCTAAAACAATTTTTAAGATAAATCACAGCCCCTCCTGTATGTCGACTGTCAGAGTAACATACAACAGTTGACTGTTTTCATTCAAGAAATCAGCCAACTCCAACATATTTGATGTTAAACCTTGTATATTGATGTGAAGAATATCTATAGCTTCAGCAACTCCAGATGTATGGGACCCTTTCAATCGCTACCCATACTGTGTTCTATTTTGTTCTTTTTCTCGCGCTCTCTCATAACAAAGACAGTTTCTATCAAATACAGTGTGATTGAACTCAATATTTGGTATTTTTAACACTTGCGAAGCATGCTTGCAATTTAAACATTTGAATGAATGTGATTGGCAATATGCACTCTTATGATTCTGATTACATAAGGGACATATAATTTGCTTTACAGTGTTCCACTTTGTGACTGTACTTCCAGCACTTAAAACATCGTAATACTGCAATATGTTCAAAAACCGGAAAGCTGTCCCACTCCAAGAATAGTTTTTTGCTATGTACCAAACATTTAAAAATGGCTGGCGACACTTCTAATATTACATTAAAGGACTTCTTATTGAATGGGATATATTTTCTAATGAACTTAATATCCAAATCTAACCCACTTAATCAGTTTTGACTTTTCATGCGATGCAAAAACTATTCTGCATCATCAAGATATTTTTCATGTATACGAACAATCAACAATTTGGGACAAATTAAATTTGGAATGCCAACAACGTAGTTTTCTGATACCACTGCGTCATTCGCTTTATTTTGCATTTTTTCTAAGGATTCCTTATCTTTGCACTGAATAATAACAGAACCATGAGTCACAGATTGTAGGATTTTTATTTCCACTGATTAATCACTTGGATTTATTTCTTGCGTGATGACATTTTTGGTTACTTTGCTATCTTGATTTGATTTTTTGGTCTTATTATTATTGGTGGATTTTTTTGCTTAACGACGTCTTACCATAGTTGATTTGGCTGTGATGGTTCCCCACATTCTAATTAAGATCCTGTAGTCTAAAAATTGATTGATTGAGATTGATCTTGGTAGTCCCTATGTTAGATGGGTAGGAATAAACAGATGAGTAATACAACTTCTAATAATTGATGTCACTTCGACCTAACTTATCTTACAACCCACCTTTGTCCGAGAGTCGTTTTTCTTTCAAAGGAACAAGGATTTTTAAGTACATTATCAAAATTAACGAATACAGAACCAAAATCAGAATGCAAATTGAAATCATGAAAATTCAAAAGCAAAATTATTGTAGAACTTTGTTGAACCAATGCCTTAAATAAACAAATACGAATAATAAAATAAAGGATATGGGATATAGTCCAAGAAACGGAGATCTGAAAAGAGGGGTTACCTCAACATAATTAGAAGTTGAATTTTTTTTGGAGGGATAGGTTCATTCTAATGTGCTAAACAACATATTAAGTTTGCGACCTTGTACTTCCATAGGGTTTTCAGTTAGGGGTGGTTTTTAGGGGTAATTTGAGATTTATGGAGAACGCTGCTCAAAAGGATGGTCCAATAGCAAAAAGTTTCAAATTAATGTTGTAGCTGAAGCTTTTTGCTATAAAAACTCAGCGACAGCACCCCTCTATCTTCTATAGTTTTTTTTCTGCAGCGTCTTGAATAGTAGCATGTTTTTGTTCAAGGTCACTGAATCAACATTTTGCCATTTTGCGCGCATTTGTTGCAGCAGCGGCCGAATGCATAATCCGATTTCAATTTTTCAAACACCACATTATTGCTAATGAAATTCACTCTCCAATGCTTTTTTGTTCGAATTTTTTGCTTGAAAATTAAGCGAGCACGGACTTGCATTCACTCTAATTTCTAAACGGGGCCAAATATTTGGTGACAGTTTTCGACAATCGGCAGCCCATTTATTCTTCTCATAATGCCCCAGCGGATTTTTTTTTTCGTCAATTATTCAATGACTTATTGGCCTGAAAACGTCTCGCGGAATTTTTCAAAAAGTAAAAAAAAAAAAAAAATTGTCGCATAGCGCTGAAATTTGGTACGATGGCCTTATTTATTGTTCTTACGAATATAATGCAATTTTAATTGCTTCACATGATATAAAATTGCAGTATATTCACGAGAACAATAAATAAAGCCATCGTACCAAGTTTCAGCGCTATGCGACAATTTTAATTTTTTTTTACTTTTTGAAAAATCCCGCGCGACGTTTTCAGGCCAATAAGTCATTAAGTGATTAACGAAAAAAAAAATCCGCTGGGGCATTATGAGAGGAATAAATGGGCTGCCGATTGTCGAAAACTGTCACCAAATATTTGGCCCCGTTTAGAAATTAGAGTGAATGCAAGAAAGGGGTAGTTTTCGATGCAATTTACAACTTCCTCGCACATTAGACAAGTCGGTGCTCGCTTAATTTTCAAGCAAAAAATTCGAACAAAAAAGCATTGGAGAGTGAATTTCTTTAGAAATAATGTGGTGTTTGAAAAATTGAAATCGGATTATGCATTCGGCCGCTGCTGCAACAAATGCGCGCAAAATGGCAAAACGTTGATTCAGTGACCTTGAACAAAAACATGCTACTATTCAAGACGCTGCAGAAAAAAAACTATAGAAGATAGAGGGGTGTTGTCCTGTTGTCGCTGAGTTTTTTATAGCAAAAAGCTTCAGCTAAAACATTAATTTGAAACTTTTTGCTATTGGACCATCCTTTTGAGCAGCGTTCTCCATTAACTGCAAATTACCCCTAAAAACCACCCCTAACTGAAAACCCTATGGAAGTACAAGGTCGCAAACTTAATATGTTATTAAGCACATGAAAATGAACCGATCCCCCCCAAAAAATGTTAACTTCTAATTATGTTGAGGTAAACTTCCTTCATTGCTTGGACTAATATGTAAGTGCTCTTACGCGTTTGTAGATACTAAACAACTGACAGCTACCCGTAAGTGATCTTAAATCGGCTGTTTTTTGCCTACCTAATTACAGATTTTCATCATTAATTTTATTGGCTCCAAACTAACTTTTTTATTACTAAATTATGAAAAAAATTGAATTATATTTGAATGTGTATTTATATGTGAAAATTATTCTAGCATAGGTACTAAACACATTTTTTTTTTTTAGAAACCATATACGCCACCCCCTATAAAAGCATCAATAGCCACTACAGATGATTCTGTTATTATCGATAAGGGAGCTCCGGCATCACCCCAATTGAAAGTATCTGTAACAAAAATATCAACACCAGTAACAATATCGAGTATACCAACTTTATCTACCTCCAGTAATAAATCTGATAGTAAAACATCCTCTAAAGCGACCGCAAGTGTTCATCATAGTCAAAGAAGTTCAGGAGGACGTCACGGCTCTAAGTCGTCATCTGTACATAGCCAAGGGAATCCCTCCTCCTCTTCTGGCCATCATGCTTCTAGAAATTCTTCATCCAGTCATCATAGTCCCAAAAATCAGTCGTCGTCGTCAAGCCATCATCGGTCAAGGAGTCCCTCCAGAGTGCATCATACTACAAAAACAACAGTGAAGAGTAGTAGCAGTCATCATGGAAATAGTCACCATAGTAGTAGTCATCATTCCTCCAAATGTATGTATGCATGTTATACTATATTTAATACTTGTCCGATAAGACAATTACCAGAATATTCAAAAAACAGACTTTAATAAGATAAGAAAAATATTTAATTTGAATTTTTTTTAGCTACTTCATCCAAAGACACGCCAATGGACACACTGCCTGCCAGCTCATCCATTTCACACCATCATCATTCCACTTTAAGCCACAGTTCCAGTAGTAATAGTAATAGCAGACATAAGAAATCTTCTTCTAGCTCTTCATCTTCAAAGAGAAGTAGCAGCGGAAGTGGAAGCAGCAGCAACAGCTCTTCAAAAACGTCTCCAAAAAATTACGACCCCGATATTCATTGCGGAGTCGTCGAAGGAGATAGAGGGCCTTGTATGAGATCTATTACTTGTTCAAATCATAGAGTAAGTTTAAACAGAACTTTAAATTATTTTATCTAATACTTTGTATCCTCAAATTAAGTTTAAATTTTTAGCTCAATTTGCGAAAGCAAGTATTAGGACGCAGCAAAGATATCCATCAATTAATAGCAGAAAGAAAGGCCGCAAAAGAGAACGATTTAAAGCACAGGACCACATCCCGTTCCTATACGTCCCCAAACGGGGAAGCAAAAGAAATACTAAGTCAAAATACCTCCTACGTTCCTGTTGCGGCCAAAGTTGCAAGCACAAACACTAATTTGGTGGTTACTAATTCGTTTGTGCCTATTTTAGCGAAAATGTCATCTGGACAGACTAGATTTTCTACTGTTTCAATTCTTACAAAGGTAAGATCTTTTAAATTAGCACATACTTGGATGCGAATGAAAATAAATTTTAAATGAATTGGGTAGTAAATGTCAATATTTGTAAACACAAAAAATTAACGTCTTTTTTGGCCAAAATAGTTTTCTTATGTGAACTATCAATAAACAATAGTAGGTGTAAACATTTCTCTTAAGAATCACAATTTGATCTCAATTACATATCCAGCTGTTCTTTTTCTCCGAATGAATTATCGTTTATTACTTCATGATTCTGCCTATAGGGGTAACAGTTTGAAAAGTACCAATCGGGCATATCTCTTAGACAAAAAATTGTATCAGGAACATCTCAAATACGTATCGGTGGATTGGAGGGGGAGCCCACCCCGTTTGCTACCTCCTTTGAAAGGTTTTTTCTTCCTCTTTAGAGGCATGCAGCAGCAGATAGAATTATGATAAAGACATTATTTGGCTTTACCGATGTGTAATTGAGACTTTTATGACATAATTGTTTTGTCTAAAAGATAGTCAAAATTACTACTTTTCAAGAGTGTTGCTTACTTTTATACACCGATATTTCAAAAACTAATCGTACGATTGAGGATTTTGCTATAAGACTGTAAAGGTAAAGCAACGAGCTATCCAACGATGTGCAACACAAGGTAGGTTGGTACTGAAAAAAAATAGGTTAGGATAGCTACCCCGCAAAGGGTGAGGTGGGCTTCTCACTGACTTACCTCCGATTCCTCGATACGTATTTCAGATCTGATAGTATTTTCTGTCTTAAGAGATATTTCTGATTGCTACTTTTCAAATTCTCACCCTGTACCACTTGGTTGGGTTTAAAACTTTTGCTGATGCTTTTTAATTGATAACATCAGAATATCCGAGATGATGGAGTTATTTAGACTGTTTTAGACTGACCATTTTGCAGGGGGGTTAATAGGAATAGTGAAAAACTCAATGGAAAATTATCGGAGAAATGTAAATAAAAGTGCCTGCATGAATTTTTGGCACGTAAATAATTTATTATATTTGACATTGAAATATAAATTTCAATCATAAGAAAAGAGGCAGCCAGGTTGAGGGATACTTCAAAAATTATTGAAAACATTGCCAGGGAGCCATAAAGTTTAACAAATCATTAACAGAGTTTTCAAACCTAAAGAGCCAATCAGAGTTACTTATACATAGGACTGGCTAGTACTTAGGATAACTAAAAAAATACACTCGTCAAAATAGTCAACAAAAAATATATGTCTTTTAATACAAAACAACTTTTTTTTAAAGATAACGTGGGTATTATTACTTATTGAACAAATCTTATCAAATTTACCATGTCGGCTTTTTTTTTTGCAAGCTTGTTCAGTTTAAATATTTTATAATTAAAATCAGCCAAAAATTTCTGATAAGTATAATAGTACAAGAGCCAGTGAAAAAAAATCCGGCTGATTTTATTATGGCTGAAAAATTTAGGAAATGTAGAATCAATCATGAACAATACGAAATCGCGTGCCTGCCTGCTCGCATCGGTTGCGTTAATTAATAAAAAAATGTTTAACGAGGTTTTGTAAAAGCAAAAACCGACTCATCGCGTTTTGCATGAAAATTTGTGTGAACATAGAACAAACACCCCCAAGTATGATTTCGAATGCCTGTCTACCTAAATCAGTTGCTAAATAGCGCCTGTCAAATAAAAATCGACTGAAATTTTTCTCAAAATTCGACTCATCGCGTTTCGAGTGAAAATTAAATATACCACAGTTAAAGGCATTAGAAGAAAATTTCTGACTGCCTGCCCGATCAAAGCCGTTGCTTTCTAATGCCTGCCTGGTCCCAAAGTTCGCAAGTGGAATACTCAAATTCACAAAATAAAAACACATGGACCGTGAGGCTGTGACCGTGCCGACCTAGAGATGCACAAATAACAATGATTTCGTTGCAATGTTGCCAGACTTTTTTGACGACTTCCCTTCAACTGAGTGACAAAAACCCTTCAAAATCCTTCAAAACAGTGTCGATTGGCCGGCACCACAATAATATATTATGCAATGATCATGTAATGATATTTATTAATACACGAGCATTTTGTAGGATACGAAACGAGCCGCAGGCGAGTTTCGTTATATAAGATGCGAGTGTATTATTGGCCATTACATGAGAGTTGCATACACTATTTTATCTTCTTCCATTAATAAACGAAATACATATTGATATTTAGAATAATAAACTCCTCAACCGGTGACAATTAATTGTTGACAACTATTGACAATTTCGGAAATTAAGATCTGGACGTCATTTGGGGATAAATTCTGCACTCGATTTATTAATTTGTTGTTGTTTCTTTAGGTAAATACTAATAGAAACAATCCAAAACAAGTCTGTTATTTTTATATAAACATTGTTCATGTTCAAAATAACTCGATTCCAGTGGCTGAAAAATCTGTATCATAATGAAGTTCATTATGAAACAGATATTATCGACTCTATAATTTAAGTAATTAATAAAACCACGATTTAATTTCGGTGATAAAGGTTGATCTATTTATGAAAATTACAATAAGCTTCTTCAAGAGAAAAGAAAGAAAGTCTTTACATAAGCTACCTCCGATGAAGGGTAACAGCTCATCAACACCTCAATGGTCCGAAGTTCCCATGTGTGTACTTTATGACGTCCATAAATTCATAATCCGTCTAGGTACCCCAATGTACTACTGTCGTCAAAGTTTTCGACGATAACACAGATTTTAATCGTTTAAGAAGCGTATTATGAAACGTCAGTAGAAAAAATATTTTACCAAATAAAAAAAAAACACCACCTATACCTAACATGAATTTGCAAAGCGGAAAAGTAACTTTTGAAAGAAAAATTTGTGTAACAAAATTATGACAATTGACTCAAAATCTCCATTGTGAAGCAGTCATTCGCCAATGGTGCAGGGTGTTTATTTATAGCTAGAACACTCAGTTACTTCTTTATTATTGAAAATAGAGGCCATGTATAAATTGAAAAATTTCTTAGTTAATTGCAACGATCTTAATCGCTACAACGATATTTTTTTTGCGCCATAGGTATACAGGGTGCGCCAAAAAAGTAATTTTTTTTAATTGATTGCCCTGTACTTATGTTTTTGAATTTTTAAAATTCTAAAAAATTAGCTTCACAAAAATTTCAAACACTATTTGGATACCAAAAATTCACAGGACGTTCCATTGAAAAAAAAATAGTTTTTTAACGCACCTTATATACCTATGGAGACAAAAAAAATATCGGTGTAGCACTTAAGACTGCAATTTACCAAGAAATTTTCCAACTTGAACATGCACTCTATTTTCAATAATCAAAAAGTAACTGAGAGTCCCAGTTATACACAAAGTCCCAGTACCAGATCTGAGATCAGAACTTTTGTCTCCAGTGACTTCACCTGTAACCGGCTTGGCAATGGCGTCAAACACTCATCCCAGAATCCCAGCAGTAGGTACTAATATTACCAGCTTGTTGAAAAATCATTATCAGTACCTATCTAGGTATAATAATAAATGAATGTCGATTATTTAAAAATGTGTGTATGTACAATATAATATGTTTAATAAAAAAACCCATATTTTCTTTGTGGCCTATTCTGGTAAGGTCGTCGGAAAAATGTTGATCCTAACTCAGGCATATAGTATTTTACATTATTAGCCAGGTAAAACAGTTTTTACTGGTGATTGAAGGAAATGATCAGCGAGCCGTCAGGCGAGCTTGTCACCTTCATGAGCCAGTAAAAACTGATACCTGGCGTATGATGTACAATAATTTATTTGTTACTCATTTGTAAACAATAAATAAAAAATTAATACATAGGTAATACAATTTTAATAAATAATTCTACTGACCCTACTGACTTGTAAAAAGTTTTTGCAGTTTAGCTGTCAATTTTACAAGTCAGTAGAGCCAGTAACTGGGTAAAAATCAATTTTCGTTGTTTATGTTTTGACTTGATAAATGATGTTTTACAAATAAGTGACAAATAAAAGTATTTTTCCTGCCCTTGACTGCTTACTTGAACTCCGCTTCGCGTCGTTCAGGTGAACGGCAGTCGCGTGCAGGAAAGTATAACTTTCTGCACTTGATAGGATCATACCTATTGTTGTGCCGGCCACCTGCTACTGTTTTGAAGGATTTTGAAGGGTTTTTGTCACTCAGTTGAAGGAAAGTCGTCAAAAAAGTCTGACAACACTGCTACGACATCATTGTTCTTTGTGCATCTCTGGGTCGGCACGGTCCATGCGTTTGTATTTTGTGAATTTGAGTATTCCACCTGGCATATTTTTATACTTTGCGAACTTTGGGACCAGGCAGGCATTAGAAAGCAACGGCTTTGATCGGGCAGGCAGTCAGAAATGTTCTTCTAATGCCTTTAACTGTGATATATTTAATTTTCACTCGAAACGCGATGAGTCCGCATAACACGCTCCGCATCCACAATTAGCGTACCGTGGTTTTGTTGGTAAGCAGGAGGAAGAGTCTCTGATAAGTCAAGGGACCACGCAATGTTACAATCAAGCCTATAGCCATGTCATCGGCGTTCCAACCATTAGCCATGACAACCGTCTCAAACTGACGTCTGTACAGGGTGTCCCAAATTCGAAGGTGATCATTGAGATATCGGAAACTATAAGAGATACGAGGTCGGTTAGGTCAGGGCAAAGTTGCGCAATTTTATGACCAATAAAATGCCGTTTTGAAATTTGAAAAATTCCTAATATTTCCGAAGATATTCGGAGAAAACCGAAATTTTGTAAAATTATTTTTATTTTTCCTGAGTCTATTTGAAGAGCAATTTTAAAATAAATGTCACTTCATCGTTGTCACTTTTTCTCTTCTACAAGACGCTATCATCAAATTTAAAATCTGACGTTTCGTCTTTGGGCCACCATCATCAACTTATTTTTTTTAATATGGCGCTTGATTTTCTACTTCAGATTTTTAGAGCTTCTGATGTCCCCAGACCAATGACGTATCGCACTGATTGGAAAAA